TGTTGTGGGGTTGTTAACCAATGTCATAAAACAATATGTGTACTACTGTTTCATGAGAAACTATTTGTTCTGTAAGCCTTCACCTGAAGTACAATTAAAAAAAAAAAAGGAAAAAGGTTGGGGGAGCATCTGCACTTGTAGCAGCGTTCTGCCTGAGAGCCTCATGAAGAGGCCTGCCCCAGCACACAGGTCTATGGGGACAGCTGGATCATTTCAAGTGCAAGACCCAGCCCTAGCTTTAGGAAGGAAACTTCCAAAACCACCCCCTTGCAGCATGGACAATATGCTGATCTTGCATAAAAATTAACACCTGCTCATTTCTAAAACTACCTCTTTCTAATGCATCCATGCCTGGGAGTCTAGGCCTTTCTTCTCTTCATCAGAAGGATACCTGATCACCAAAGAGAATTCCGGTTTAGCTAATTCCCCAGCTAGGAGTCATTATCTGAATACAGGAAGGAGAACTTTGAGAAAGGAAAACAGATGAGTCTGGAGCATCTAACCCCACTCCTCCTCCTCGTCTCTCATGTATAAATTCAGTGAGTATTTACTGGCTGCCATGACGCACCAGGTGCTGCGCATTAAACGTGAGGGACACAGAGAACAAGGCAGACAATAAACAAACACATGAAGAAGAAAATAATTACAGCTCGGGCTGCACCCCACCCCCCGCCGGCCACCTGGCTTGCTGTCTTCACCTGTTGGTAACTCTGCTGCTGAGGTATTGTTTGAGGAACCAGCCGGGGCTGACTTGCAAATACATGGCCATCCAGATACAGAGGCGGGAGGTGGTTGCCTGGAAACAATCCGGGAAAATGGAGAAAAGTATCAAGTCTCTGTTTCTGAGCGTCTCTTAGGGGGATGCTCTCCATGTCCACTTCTTCCAGGGGAATCAGTGGGGTAGTGGAGGTAAGGGGTGTATGCAGAGCCTACTTGGCTCCCTGTGGCCTGTCCCTGTGATTCTGTAGCACCAGGCCTTTGGGGAAACTGGGAAGGCTTGCAGTATTGGGGCCCTGGAAGAAGATAGCAGGATCCAGCCTACCTTTTCCACCTCACTGCTCACCAACTGCCCTGGACACCCAGGTGGGGGCTTTTATTATAAGTGAGGGCTGCCTGAGTCTCTCAGTCACTTGCCTCTTCATCTCCCTGCTATTGAGTCCACAGTGGAGGGTCAGAAGGATCTATTGGAATTACATCACTGAGACTTTGGCAGCTAGGCCCTCAAAATCCCCATGCTCTTCCATGGGACACCAACACAGTGACAAGGATGATGACAGTAAAGATAAAAACAGCTACACTGATCAAGCGCTTAGCTGATGCAAAGTATTTTCTAGGGAAGACCCTGCTTCACCATGTAGCCACCCCATGAAATGTTGTCATCAACCCCATTTTACTTTACAGAGAGGAAGCCACGGCTCAGGGAAGTGAGCTCACTGCTGGGGCGACACAACACTTGCATGAGACCCAGGTCTGACTCAAGCCAAGGCTCTCCTCAGGCCACTCCCCAGGAGCGTGGGGGACCCTGGCCATAGGAAGCCACTGGATCTGCTTCCCAGAGTAGGAAGCGGGTGCGAGTTATCTGCAGCACATGGGAAGCTAAGCCCACCCAGCCTAAAATAAATTCCAACTTCTACACCTCCCTTAAGTCAAGGCCAGGGGCTGGTGTTCAGGGCTCTCGATAATGAATGGAGAAGGCTCCCTGAGGCCTGGCTCAGGGGGATGTAATACCTGGAATGGAAGAAGGTGCTACAGAGGCCACAGGCATGGGTGGCATGGAGACTCCACCAAAAGCGCTATAGTTGACCCCGTTGGAGGCTCCCACGGAGGATGGAGGCTGGATGCCCGAACCAGTGCCTCCTGGAGAGCTCTGCTCCGGCAAACTGGGAGAGTTTTCCCAAGCCTTGCGTGCAGACTCCATCTTTGGAAGCAAGGGGAGGGGAGGGATGGAAATTACCACCGGGGTGGCAGTAGACAATACAAAATCTAAGATTCAGCACCGTGGGGGTGGGTGTGGTGGAGTGAGGTTCTCCCTTTCTGCCTCTTGACAAGCTAAAGGAGGGTGGGCCCCTGCCCATCTGGTGTTCAGCCAGGGCTATGTTACCTTCAGAGTGAGGTCAGCGGTGGGGAAGGACATTGGGGAGAGGCCAATGGCCCTCTGGATGTGATGATCCCGCCGGAGGATGGGAATAGACTGTGTTAATCCAGCCTGGATATGAGGAAAAAAAGGAAACCGTGGAACACAAACAGGAGAAAGAAAACAAGACAGACTAGTCAAAATGCACCTTCAGTTTTGGCCAAATGTATTTGACATCACTAAGATGAAGCTGATGACAGCCAAGACCACAACATGTTTCCTCCAAATAGTTGCCTTCATCTTGATTTCTGTGATAGAAGACCATGCAATATCACATTCATTCATACCCACAACCCACAAAGCCCTCTGGACAAGAGCACGCATGTCTCAGAGACATCAAAAAAAGACTGGCTACCAACACGCAAGCGCACAGTTCAGCAGTGACCTGCTACCTGGCTTGGAGATGCCCAGGTGCAGAAAGGGAAAGGCTTATGGCTGCCAATCAAGCCCCCCGAGGGAATTCTATGAATGAGAGCTCTGGTAATGTACGTTAGGAAATGCAACATGCTATATATATATATACATCTCCTCCTGCAGATCCCAGTGATTTCTCAGAAATCTCAGAGTAGAGAACCTTGTTTAGCACAGCATTTCCAAACACATTTGACCACAGAATTTTTTTTTTCACTCAACACCTATCAATATTCTGCAGCACAAATATTCCTTGCAACCCTCTTTGGGAAACGCTGCCCAAGTGACAGTGATTCATTCAGTTTAATTACTGAGCACCTACTCCATACAAAGCAGTGAGGACAGAGCAGTGAACAGAAATGTCACTAGGACAGAAATCAGGCTGTGGCCCACAACTGATGTGTCTCCCTGCTATTCAGAAGGTCAGCTGGATTACAGCAGGGTCAGCCTACAGACTCTAAGGGCCTCAAGTGGTGAGGCCACGGACTCCTGAGTAGGCGCTCTCCTACTTTATCCATGTCCCCTCCCCCACAACTCGCCACGGAAGAGACTATCCGTACAAGTTTGTACAGCACCTGACACAAAGCAAGACATGGAATCAAAGAATGCCGAATAAACAAGACTTTACAAATTACATTATCCCCATTTTAAGGTAAAAAACCTGGGTGTGGAAGGTTTAAGCAACCTGCTCAAGGACGCGTAGCTAGCTAGAGATTGAATCACGGTTGGCCCAACTCTGAAGCACATGATGTCACCAGGCATTCCTAATACCCAGGGCCTGTCCACAAGAAGTGGGACGGACATACAGAGCTGGGGGTGAAGTGCACTTACATTGCTGGCCAAGGCATCCTGAAGTTTGACAACTGGATTCCCTGCAGGACCAGAGGCAGAACCAGGTGGCAAGCTGAAATCCGAGTCCTGGAAGAAAGGGAGCACAGCCCATGAGGTCATCCTGGCTCACTCTGGGCAAGGCAGACGTTAATTTGATCCACAGTCTCAGCGACTCAAAAAATCCACTAATCAGCATTCACTGAGAGCCATACATGAACGAGATGGCTAGATGTTCCTGACAGCACATGAGAAAGGATGGGGTTTAGAGACTGCCACCCCTTACTCATCTCTGCCTGCTCCCTACCCATGGGTTGGCCTGATGGAGACGGTGAAGATCACTGGCCTTCTCATCCTGAGAACCTGGTTTGGGTCAGTAATGAAATCGATAAGGCAATTCAATAGCACCTGCCACCCGTCCAGAACTCCATGCCAACACTTTCTCCTCTGGAATTTGTCCCTGCTGTTTCTAAGAGACAACCCTTTCTAAAGCCCTTCTTCTCTAAGTGTCAACAGGAAGGGGGCAGAAGTGGGGGCAGGGAAAGGAAGGAAGGTAGGAAATCAAAGTCTCACTTTTGGACTGACTCCAAATTCAATGGGCGGCACAGGCAGCACGGAATCCACGTGAATCTCTACTCCGTTAACAGGCGGGACGACAGCCCCTTGCAGCCGCTCGGCCCCCTCCGAGCCCTTTCTGTTTTTCAGAGAACGCTCATTGCCGATGGGTCCTGGTCTGTGCTCCTTGCTCTGTCCTGAGCCTTGTTCTGAATCCTTGATGGAAAAGAAGAGAGGCTGAGGCACACAGGTGGGAATGACCCCAGTCTCCATCATCTATGTGCCCCAAGAATCGAATTGAGGAGGAAGAAAAAAAGACAATGGCCCCTCCGCCCGGGCCCTGGCCACTGTGAACGCAACTTCCAGGTTACCTTTTGCTCAGATTGCTTCTGAGCCTGCTCCTTGTGGCTGTCGGCCTTGGGTTCCGCCAGGCCAGGCCCATTCATCTCCTCTGGTTTCAGAGTACCATACGGGGAGCTGCGCTGCGAGGAGGTCGCGGATGACTCCCGAGACTCGGCGCTCAAGTCAACGCCACTATCTCCCTGGCTGCTCTTCAAACCCTGCTGTGCAAAGCACAAAATGGGTTAGAGCCCTGACCCCAAACTCCAAAATACGATCATCCAAAACGTGAGACTGCGTGAGACACCAAGACACCTCACCCCCGAACCACCTGCCCTTGGCAGACTCTTGTCCTGATTTCAGCCCTGACCTGCCAAAGGTGACTGACAACTTAAGAACACCCTGCCAAATGCACTAACCCTGCCCAAGCTTCATAACCACGAGATACTCGGTGGTCCCTAAACAGAGACTGCCAAACTCATTTCACTCGTGACCACTGCCACTGGTTCAGAGGAGAGGCATTCAATCCCTCTCCCTACCCAGGTTGGTTTTTCCCTTTGTCAACTCTTTTCTTTCTCTCTTTCACACAGGTACTGCACACAGATCAGAAATCAAGACTGAAGAGCCAGTGGCGAGCCAGAGCCAGTGGCGAGCCAGAGCCAGTGGAAATGGACTCTGGTCCAGGCTTAACTCCCGAAGCAGAGGGAGGGCTCAGGGTGGGTCACTGGAATGAACGGAGGCCCAGGGTGAGCTAGCCACGTGGACAGTGAACACACACTCAGCACCCGACCTGCACGCAGCCATGGCCATACTCACCTCAGCAGAGCCGGACTCGGTGCTGCTGAAGGCAGTGACGGCTTTACTCCAGGAGTCACTGGTCGAGGCCTGCACGGGGAGGGCTGCCAGAGGGAGGAAGACAGAGAGTCAGGGAATCAAAAAAGAACAACCAATCTGGAAAAACATGAGTTTACAGGCTCTTCAAAAACAAGCACAGGTACAGCTTACAGAAATCCAATTCCCCTGACCGCATCTGCCCCCTGCCAAATGACACAACACTGAGCAGATCTGATATACAGGAGCTAATCTGGTAGTTTTACCCAACTTTCCAACACGCTCAGACAAATTTCAAAGTGTGCTTCTCATTATTTCATTTACTATCCTCTCTAGTAAATGCACCAGCAATTTTTTATTCACGGCTACTAAAATTCTTTACCACCATCTCTGCTGTACTGATGCTTTATTTCACTTAGGTCAATCCAGCTATTTATTTCTGAAAGCTGGCTGCGTCTACAAAATCTTTGTAAGATGCAAGTCTGTACTCACAGATTCTTTTGAGAATCCAACAAAAACCATGGACCCACAGCCTCAAAACGGTACATGCATACAACGCTGCACACGCTATTTTAAGATCCAGGGGCCCTCTGAAGCCATCATGGACCCCTGGGCTGAGGAACCAGAGACACTGTAGGATCCTGAAGGAAAACGTCTGACAAAAGCAGTCCTTTTGGATATTTAACGATGATGCCAACCCATCACTCACACAGGCTACCAAATTTATCAATATTAATATTTTATCAAAAGATTATCCTCCCTCCTTTAAACTGCAGTCAAAAGAGTTTCAAATGTTATTTTGCAATATGTACTATGCTGTAGTAACAGAGAAAGAATCGAGGTCCACAGCCCAGTGAGTAGGTGTTTGTCCTGTGGGTCTGGGGTCAAGCCATTTCACTCTGGAGGCCTCAGCTATGTTGTCTAAAAAGCTGGAAAAAGATGATCTGAGTCCTTCCTGCCCACCAGCTGTCAAACGCCCTTGTTTTATTCATCTTTGTACCCCCAGGGCTTGGTGCAGGGCCCTGCCCAAAGTAGGCATTCAAGAAGTATCTGCTCAATTAAAATGAAGTTATCAGAAAAACAACATTAGATATACAATTTTTAAAAAGTATCCAAAACCCGTTGTCCAGTCGATTCTGACTCACAGCGACCCTATAGGACAGAGTAGAACTGTCCCATAGGGTTTCCAAAGAGCAGCTAGCAGATTCGAACTGCCGGCAGATTCAAACTGCCGACCTCCTGGTAAGCAGCTAAGCTCTTAACCACTGTGCCACCACCAGGGTGCAAAAAAAAAGAGAATCCAGGGAAACATATTTTCCAAAAAGTGAGGTAAGGTACACCTGGACCTATGCCCTCGTTTGCCTCTCCAAGACGGTGTTTAGGAGGAGTTTATAGAACCTTCCCCCACGGCTCACATGAGAAACCTTCTGAATTCATCATTGCTTTTCCACAAGAAGAAAAGATAATCAATGGGGGCCAAGTCAAGCCAACTCCCCGAGGGGCTCTCATTACATGGGACTATCCTTTTTCAGACCACTGGGCTTACTGCATATGCTGCTCTTCTGTCAAATTCTAGATTCCTTCAGGGGCCGCAGCAGCACAGTGCTCAGAAAGCATGTAACACTCTGGCCCAGTAGAGGAACTCAGCACACAGGTAAGGTTCAATCTACACTCATGGCTCCAAAAGCAGAATGTTCCCTGATATGAGACCCTGGGTCCGTGGTGACCTTGGGCCAAGGTGCTGAGCCCAAACCCCCTACTGCTCACCTTGGTTGCTGCTCTCCCAGATCTCGGTGCCTAGGCTGTTGCCAGGCACTGTTACATCACCTTGCTCCAGGCACAAGTTGTTTTGCTTTTTAGCAAACCGAGGAGGAATACGGGAAGAAAGGCCTCGACCTTTGACAGGCACCTAAAGGGGAGGGAAAAAGTTGATGCAGCCTAGCTTAGACATCAGGCATGAAGAATTACAAATTCTCTCCAGGAAAAGTACCCTGGACACCAAAACCACCCCTGAAACTGCTCCAGAAATGCTTGGTGAAGTCAACAGTTTCTCTCGATCCCCTTTCCTGTGCCTTCTCCAGACCTCGACCAGTCTGAACTGCAATGCCAACGAAAGCACCCCCAGAAAAGCCTGACAGGCCAATGGTGCAATGGATGGTGGTGTGTCCCCCAAGCATGTACCACTGAGCCCTGACCCCATTTTAGTTACAGGATTCCAGCCCTCGTGACTTCCGGGGTCACGACCCTCATTTCACTCAGGTTGGAGTGCATTGGAAGGGCAGATTTGGGAGGCTGACGGAGGTTTGAATCCGGCTCAGTCATTGGACAAGTTACCCTGAGATTCAGTTTCTTCTGTAAAATAGGGATAACATCACCTATACCCACAGGACTACAGCAAGAGTAGGTGCCAGAAAGCAGTATATGCTTAACAAATACTTCCTTCCTCTCTTCTGCTTAATGCTCCATCAAAACTCTCTTTACCCTTCTAGCTCCAGTCTCCTCTGGCATCAGCCTGCCCACTCGCCACATCTCTCACCTTGACCCACACCCTCTTACCTGCACGGCTTGCTCCTTCTTTCTTTTCTCTTCCTCCAGCAGGCGGCGCTGCTTCTTGGTCAGAACTTCGATGAAGCCTTCACCCACCATAGAGCCCACCTCACTCTCCTCCCCGGGGCTGGACCCGCAATTTTCAATGATAGTATCTGAACCAAGATTTCATGAGAAGAGACAGTGTTTCCATTCATCAGAAGCCAAGAATAACCCAACCCAACAGGCACCTGGTGTCTAAGGACAGGCAAGGCTCAGGCTGGGCAGCACCTGGCTTGATATTGCCAAGTAGCTGCGATGTATTCACCAGGATCTTCAGAAACCTGGCCGGGATTTCTACACCCTCCTATGCCCCATCTGAATTACACATCACTATACCTCAAACTAGAGAAGAGGCCTGGGTGGCTTGAGGGTTAAGACAACAGTCTCTGGAGACAGACACACTTAAACCCTAGCTCTGCCATTAACCAGTTGTGTGACCTTGAGCAAACCACTGAACCTTTCTGAGCCTCAGGCTCCCCTCTGTAAAACTGGAACGTGCACAGCTGTTATGGGGTTCAGCAAGGCCATGAGCAATGAGGGCAGGAATCTGGTTTGTTTTGCTCACTACTGTAGCCCCAGAAATTAGCCCAGTGCCTGCCCAGAACAGTTCCTCAGAAGCTAACACATTCAATGAAGGGGCAAACTCAGCAACTCAAGGCGACTGCTGCAGCCCTTCGCTTTGCTTGGGTTCTACTTCCCCATAAGGATGCGAAAGTGACCAGACTCACTTCCATAGTTCAGATCAAACTGTTTCATGGTCTCTCCCTGCTCGCCTGCCCTCTGAGCAGTCAGCTTGCTCTCCTTCTCTGCCTTCTTACTGGAGGCTTCAGGAATGTCAGAGTTGGCATGGCCTGCCCGCTCCAGGGTGTAGGGCGAGTGGCTGCTCCCACTGCTGCAGCCACCAAGACCTCCAGGCAAAGCCTCTTCTGGGGATCTATAAAGGAAAGAAGAAATTGTTAGCTCAGAAAGGGCCAGAGGCTAGGAAGGAGTGTAAAGAAAAAAAAAAAAATCACATATGCACACAGCACACACACAAACACAGCACCCTGATTTGGTCTTCTCAGCAGCACAGTGACTTGGATCTACGTCTGTCTCCCCTAGTTTATACAGGAGGAGCTGCTCACCAGCAGTGGTGCGCCCATGTGCAAACACGCACGTGTGGTCACCCCTGCTGGCCCTGCTTTGGCAGAGCACCGCCTGCTCATGGGAAAAGGTGCTCTTTTCCCAGCCCCTGCCCAGGGCTCAGTGCTTCTCTTCTTTCCTACTGTAGGCCAAATTCCGCAGGACTGCAGAAAGGAGACAAAGAAGAAAGAATGCTCAGAACAAAGCTGCAGAGCTTTCTTATACATGAGGCTGTAACCAGCAAGGAGTCCTGGTCTTGCTCAGTAGCATGGTCAGCTAGCAACGCGTTTGGGGCAGAAATCAGAAGTAAGGCCAACACTCTGTATCTGGGACATGGAAAGCTAGGCTAGACCAACACCTGAAAAAACTTGGCATTCTCCCCTGGTTCCTTCTTTGGGGGTATACATTAATTATGTCTAGGTTTCTGGGCTTTGGATTCTAAGGAGAGGGTGGGAGGTGGGAACAAGCTTCCCTGGTGTCCCAAGGGCAGGGCTGGCCTCAGCACATCCTTCATCCCCATCATCTAAGGCACAGACTGCCTAAGACCAGTAAATGCTGGCTGTACAAGCTATTCTGTCCATGTGGTTTCCTCTTTCCCCAAAACTGGGGACAGCCTGTGAGCAACAAGCTGACACTAAGCACAGACCATCCACTTCAGGGCCTCTAATTCTGGAAAAAAGATGCTTATCAAGTCTTCAGGTAGCCCACTCCCCTCTGTTATTGCCTGGCTCTTACCACGCCAAGGGGGCAATCCCAGAAGCAGTGCTGTGGCTCCTCACTGCATAGGAAAAGAGCTGCTTGAGAAGTGCCACCTCAGCGGGGCCAGAAGCCTACCATGCCCCACCAGGCTCTGTGCACAGGTGTTCCCCCTCCCCTCGCAGGGACTCCAAGGATACACATGGAGGTTGTACTCTTGGGACAGGTGTTACGAACACAGCCACGAAAGGAGCACTGGGGTGGGGACTCTTGCTCTGGTTTTGCTTTTCAAGCCACAACAACCACAAAAACAAAAACAACAACAAAAAAACACCACAAGAGAAGCAGACAAGCAATGTGAGAGCAAGTGATGGAGACGCTCACACACAATGGCCTTGGTAGGAAGTTGCCTTCTGCGGCACAACAAGAGGTAAAGAGCTGGGGGTACCTGACACATGGCGGGATATTCATGCATGAAGTGCTACTTAAAAAAACTGGCTTAATCACAGAACAAAAAAATAAAAAATTAAAAAAAGGACCTGGGTTTTGTTTTGTTTTACCTTTTGGCTTTCAAAGGCGTCCCATTCTGCTGGCTCTCATAGCGGGGAGAGGTCTCACCACCACCTGGCCTAACGGACTTCTCCCCAAACCCTCCAGGCTCCAGCTTTCGGCTCTGTCTGTCAACCAGGGGTCTCTGGCTAGAAAAGCTTCTCTTGGCCAACTCCTTCTTCTCACCCAAACTGGCCCCAGACAGGCCGCTGTCCACCTGGGAGTCCGGCTCAGCCACGTGGCCTTCTCGCCGCTCCCGCCTCTCACTGAAGTCACTGCTCTCAGAGGCTGTTTCCCATTCTTCATTGGCGTGATCAGAGGAGTTCTGGTACGAGAGTTCAGGGGACCGGCGACCCACAGCACTGCTCTTGCCCCCAGGACAGAGTTTGGACCTGCATGGCCACTGACCTGCCAGCAGGTGGGGCTCCTCCTCAGGCCCCCACAGGCTTAAAGATTCACGCTCTTGCCTGAGGCGCCTGAAGCGAGGGGGCTTGTCTTGGCGCGGGGGGCGTCTTCTCCGGAAGGGCCGGTTCTCGGCATTTTCAGAATCTGCCACATGGTCGTCTGGGAAGAAGGACCTCTTATCCTCCAAGCGGCTCTCCTCGAAGCCTCTGCCACCAAATGAGTCAGAATGTCTATAGGAATCTGGGATATAGTCTCTATCTGTGGATCGCCGGGACCCGCACGTGTCAGAAGAGCTGTACTCCTGCCAGGAGTTGCCTGGACTTTTGCTCTGCCAGTGGGGCGACTCCTTGGACACAAAGGTCCTCCGTCCATACCCGCAATTGCTCAGCCTGGGTGGCAGGGCTCGCCCAAAGGCCCGAGGGCCTCGATTCTTAGCATCTGGACCATTATGGTCATCAGAATACATCTTGTTGGATCGCCAGGAATCTTTAAAGTCGCCTTTCTTCAAGGTGCTCTCCTCCCTTTCCAGGAGGGAGCCTTCATTCCCATTTTCCGAGCCTCTCTGCCGACGCCGCTTAGGAAGTTCTTCGTACTCTGAACCCTCACTGTGGGTCTCGCTGGCAATCCTTCGCCGGGGCTTGGCTCTGGGGAAGTCTTCAGGCTGATTGAACTCGCGCAGTCCCCGGCCTCGGCTGCTTCTTTGGCTGTTGTTATACAGGCCCCGAGCCCCCAGGATCCCCCCGCCACAGACGCTGCCTCCATTTCCACTAGCAGGGCGCCCACGGAAGGTGAATTCTCTGAAACCACGGCCCCGGCTCCGGTTCTGTCCTCTGCCCCCGAAGGCCTGCTCCTCATCAATAAAGATCCAGTTACTTCTCTTTGTTGGGGGGACATCGCTGGACTCTCGTGATGGTCTGGTCTCCCAGGCCCTGTCGGGCTTCTCATCCTCTTCAAACTTACTGGACTCATGGCTAAAACTAGCAGGGGGGGAGTCTTTGTCCTGTAAGACAGAGGTGGAGGAGTTGGCTAGGGTGGGGTCATTCTCTTCATTCTCGTCCTTTTCTGCCTGTAGAACTGGCTCTTTCTCCTTGGCTAGCCGGGAGTTCTCCTCCCCTAATTCCTGCTTAATTTTCTCTAGTTCCTTTTCCTTGTCTTCTACCTTGAGGGCCTTTAGGACAGGTTTCTTGATAGGCCCAGACCTCCGGGTCCGGCCTGTTTGTTCCTGATGCTGGTTCCCGGAGCTCCGGGTTCCGGGAGCCCATTCAGGCTCTGAGGTGGGCTGTTTGTTGGTGGTCCCTTCCTTCTCCCACGAGGAGGTGCTAAAAGACGGCCCGTCCCGGGATGTCTCCTTCTCAATGCCGTTGGCTGTGTCGGTGGCTTTTGGTTGGTGGCTAACGTCCCAATTGTTATACTCTGGCTTTTTCTCAGCTGGGACAAAGTCACGCTCCAACGGGGAACACCTGAGGTTTGGGGGATGACTCCCAGGAGCACTCGCCTCCTGAACGTTTTCTTGGGGTGGAAACAAAAGCTCCTGGCCTATTCTTTGAGAAGAGATACAGCTGTCAAAGTCTGCTTGGGCCTTCTTGTCAAAAGCACTCAAGTACTCTTCCCCTCTCTCCTCAAAGAGATCGCGCTGGGCACTTATGCCCCCTGACCTTCCAGGTGAGGCAGAGTAAGAGCTTTCATTCCTGAAAAGGAACCAGAAAAATCAGTCAATGTGATTGGAGCCTGGTTCCTGGTTTCCATGCTGAACACAGAGCTTAGTTTTAAAAAGAAAAACAAAAAAGAAAAAGAAAAAACATAAGCACCAACATTTGCTCTATCTTTAAACATGTCTCGGAGATGCTGGGCCATGGATTGGTCGGTGACCCCTGGAGTCCGTACGAGTGAAGAATGCAGTGGCTGCCGGGTGGACTCAGTGTGCCACCCCGGAGACAGAGAGGAGCTGGGGAGATCCTCTGGTTCAAGGAACAAGCTGGAGCCTGAGAGTCCGTGAAGAGTCTGGGGCACTGGGATGGTAAAACCGCCGGGCCAGCAGGGCCAGCTTCCTTTACTTCCATAGGAAAGATCCATGACCTGCACTCTCAGCCCCACCTGCCCTGCGAGATCCCGCACCACCCCCCACAACTGGACCCTTGCCCAAGGTTCCACTCCACAAGATTTGCCTTTGACCCCACGACTTCTCCTTGGCCTTCGATCCGCTATCAGATAGGAGCCTTTCACACAAAAACATTCAAGCAATCCTATCTCCTTCCTCAGAGGGTGCTACAATCCCCTCAGAGGAGCCCCCTTCCCCCCTGGACAGTGTCTCCTGGGATAGTGCCTCTTCCCAGAGCCCGCCCTCCATTTAGGATTTGGAAACTCTTCCTTCAGTTGCAGGTCAGTAGCACCAAGTAGTTTCACCTCACCTGACATGCATGTCCATGGCCAAAGTGTCATTCGATTTCGGGTGGGGGAGTGAGTACCCCTTGCTCTGCAATGCCATGTAGCCCTCTGGAGTCCACACAGGGGCTGGCTCAATGGCAGTCGTTTTTCTTTCTTGGAGTGGGGGCACACAGTTCTGTTCTTCAGAGTGACAGCCAGTCCCATTGAGGGAATCTTGGGGCATCATGGGTTTCATCAATCCTGAAGAAAGCAAAGAACTATGTCACCTCATTTATACAGCCCTGCCCCAGTCTCAGGGTCAACAAAGGCTCAAAGACAACAGTCGTCCTGACTGGCCACGTGAACACAGCTTCCCACCTGCTTAGACATCACTGGGTTCTTAATCTTTCCTGACCAGAGATACTTTGAAGGCACACATACATGTAATTTTAAGTAAAAGACCTGTGAAGTCCAACCTTAGTTCCAGACTAAGAACCTCTGTGTTGAAGAGCACCTAAAACTGGCAAAAGGAAATAGGAAACATCAACTAGAGAGAGTTCATGGATATCAGCCAAAAGGTTAGAGGAGGCTGGTCAATCAGCAGTGTGAGAATTTCTATGCAAGCAGAGATAAGTCTTGGGTTTTTTTAGCACAGATAAAATGAAGATGAACTACACATCAGAGAGCTTGTATGGAACAAGTCAGTATTTGCTGGTTCAAAATCCCTGCAAGAAGATTTAGGCTGGGATTTTGGTTCTGCTTCCTTTTATTTCTAACCCTAAGACCGACAGCAACACTTTACATTTTGTATGGCACAGAGGGAAGGTGGGGGAGGAGGATACAAATGCAACAATAAACCGTTAACTGTGGATTAGGCCAAACATGACATCTCAGTCTACGAGACATAACTAGCCAAGAAACGGGGACAAGTTATTTGCCCTCTCTGGCCTCTTTGTCCATGTCTATGAACAAAGTGGTTAAATGAAACGGTTAGGATAGCACAGATTATAGTAAAGGTCTCTTTGGGTCCAAATCTATAGGGGAAAAAAGATCTGATTTTTCAAACACCTGCTCCAGGCAGCTTATAAACAGACAAAAAGTTTGAGATAATCTGGCCAGTCAAATGGTTCTGTATTAGGTCAGTGGTTTCAAGCTTAGTTTTAGTCATGAAATGCTACTGATACACAACCTCAATAAAAGTCAGATTCAAGTAGAGATAGGGACCCTCTCTGGAATCCTAAAATTGCATACCATTTAGCAAGTGTTTACTATGAGGTAGACTAAACTCTGCCCAACACTGTACCCAACTTGTTTCTGGCAATACGCAGCCCTTATAACCTGAAGAACCCACCAGTCACTAATCCTTTCTGCCACAAATGCTGGAGAGAATATATCAAACACTGTACTTGCAGAGATGCAGTCACAAGAAAATGAGAAATCCCTAGGGAGCTGAACACCATAGCCCTAGGCGTTGGAGTTGGTGCTAAGGCTGCCCCGGGCAAGGAAGGCGAGGGGACCTGCTAGTCTTGGTAACCTGTGGGCTTGGGCTTTAACATCTTTATAGAAGGGAGTGAGACCATCTTGCACAAGGCAGATACACAACTGAGACACAGCTAAAAACAAAAGAACCTCAGAGAGCTACATCCTCAACTAAAAGGTAGATTAGAAAAATATATGCTCTTTAGTATAGGCAAACAAGTCTATACTTGTTTTTATAAACAAGTCTAGTAAGTCTGTCTTGGCCTAGGCCAAGGTAGGAAAAAGTAGTCCCCCCAGCCCCCAAGAAATTCATTAACTACATATGCCTGCTTTCATGTAGGTTTGGGAAGGGGTTAAGACTTTTATCCCCAGGATGGTCCAGAAATCTCCCAAGTTAGCATAAAAAGTATCTTTGGATTGATGATATCCCTAGGGCACTAGCAAAAGCTAACATAAAGCCACTCTGGAGGGATATAACCTCTACCTAGGACGACTGAATCCCCACAGATAAAGCTCTGTTGAAAATAAACTCACAATCCAAATTAACCAGAACACTTGCAGAAGTAATCCACTGTGAGTCCACAGAGACAACATAGGATTAAATCCCTTCCCAAGAACTTCAGTCAACAGAACAAATGGTTAAAGATTAAAAATTTGTTTAAAATGACTAAAAGCAAAAAAGAAGGAATTAAAAACATAACAAAAACAGAAGACATGAGAAAAAAATAACATTTGAAAAAAATTCTAGTAATAAAAATATATTGTCACTGAAATGAAAAGCTCGTCAGACAGTAAAAAAGCAGATTAGACGCAGCTTTAGAAAGAAGGGAACTGAAAAATAGTTCTGAGGCAATTTTCCAGAAGGCTATTTCCCAGAAGGCTACACGGAGATAATCACTTTCATATTTTCTATTTTAAGAGACACGGAAGATAGAAAGAGAAGGTAACAAAATAAATCTGGTTGAAGTCTTAGAAATAATGAAAAAAAAAAAAAAAAAAAACAATGAGGAAGAGGCAGTATTTAAGTGTTAATTAGGAGAGAACTTTCCTGGACTAATGAGACATAAATGCTTAGACTCAAGCACAGTAAGTTCCAAACAGAATAAAATGCAGACATAGATATATACCTAGACACAATACATCGAGACAGAACTGCAGAATACCAAAGACAAAGAGAAGATCTGAAAAGCAGCCAGAGAAAAAACTGAGTAGGTTACCCAGAAAGAAATCCAATCATAGCAGCAATAGAAGCCAGAAGAAAATCGAATACAATCTTCAGAGTACAACAGTCCCCCCCTTAATCACAGTTTCTCTTTCCGTTGTTTCAGTTACCCGCAGTCAACCATGGTCTAAAAATATTAAACGAGTGGCGTGATGAAATCTCGCACCGTCTTGCTCTATCCTGCCCAGGGACCATTCATGTAACTTTTATTACAGTATATTGTTATAATTTTTCTATTTTATTATTAGTCATTGTTGTTACTCTCTTACTGTGCCGAATTTATAAGTTAAACTTTATCATAGGTACGTACGTATAAGACAAAACACGGTATTATAAGGGATTCGGTACTATCTGCAGTTTCAGGCGTCCCCGGGGCGGTGGCGGTCTTCAAACATATCCTCTGCAGATGGGGGGGGGGGGGGCTACTGTACTGAAAGAAAATAACCACTGACCTAGAACTCTATACCCAGCTACAATACTATTCAAGAGTAAGGGTTAAATAAAGCCTTTTTCAGACAATGTTAATCTACTGCCAAAATCGTGCCCTGAAGAACTGCTAAAGAATGTATTTTATAAAGTAAATTAAATCCAGATGGAAGGATGGAGATGTAAGAAGGAAAAAGAAGCAAACAGTAAACATACAGGCAAATCTGAACAAGCATAGAGTGAATAAGACAAAAATAATAACAATGAATTTGGAGGGCACAAAAACCAAGAAAAACTAAAATTCTAGGCAAAATTAACACACAAAACCATAGGAGGCAATCAGTGTTCAGGTGAAAAGTAACGATATTAACTTTTTGCTAAGCCAAAGGGGCATGTTAGAATTTTAAAGTAACCACCAAAGTATATGGAACAGAATGTGGAAGAAAAACAAAAAGAGGAATAGGGAAATCCAAGAAAAGGCAAAAAGTGAAAGCACAGAAAGAGGGATAAACAGAAAGTATAAAGTAAGATGGTAGGAAAACGTAAATATGATAATCCCAATCATGCTAAAGGACCAACTCTGGCAACTAAAAGTCACAGATACTGAGAGAGGATTAGACCATACACGTCTCGTAGCTACAAAATTCACTCCCGAAAAATAAGTGCTCAGAAAGGCTGACAGTAAAAGGTTGGAAAAAAAGACACCAGATAAATACTAACCATAGAACTACAGAATAATTACATTAATACCAGGCAAAGAAGACATTAAAGGTAGAAAGCACTATTAATGATAACAAAGGTGCTACATAATGCTAAAAGCAACAATTCTGCAGTAAGATGTAATAATTCCAATCCTGTATACATCTAGGCTGGTACAGAAAAATTGACAGGCTTACAACAAAGACTTGACAAATCCACAATCATAGTAGGAGATTTTAGTACACCTCTTAGTAATTGACCAAGGGGATAAAAAGTTGTAATGATCCAAATATTTGCACAACACAATTAGCAAGCTCACTTTAATGGACTACATCCAGTTGGAAGAATACATACTCCTTTCCAGCAAAACGGAAGGTTTAAAAAGAAAAAATAACCATGTAATAGCCCACAAAGAAAACCTCAACAAATTTCACGCAATCTAGATCAGGGGCCAACAAACTACAGCCCTCAAGCTAAATCTAGTCTGCAGCCTCTTTTTGTAAATAAAGTTTCACTGGGACACAGCCACGCCCATTTGTTTATATACTGTCTATAGCTGTTTTCGTTCTACAACAGCCGAGTTGAGCAGTTGCTCAGAGCATAAAATATCTACTATCTGGCCATTGTCTAGATCATACAGACCATATTATCTGACCACAAAGCAACAGCAACTATTATTAGAAATTATTACCATAAAGATAACTTTAAAACTATGTATTTGGAAATTTAAAAACATACCTTAAAAAATCATCAGTCATAACAAATAATCAAAATTAGACTAACAATAAGAACTGAACAATAATAAAAATGTAGGATGATACTTAGATGTTTACACTAGAAAAGTCTAGTTATTAATCAATGAGTTAGGCATCCAACATAATTACTGCAGTTAGAAAAAGAAGAGGATAAATTCAAAGGAAATAGAAAGAAGAAAGTAAGAACAAGAAGAAATTGAGACAAACAAAAACCAAAACAAAACCCTAGATAAGAAAGGGTTTTAAGACATAAGACAAACGTTGGGAAAGACTAATTTAGGGAGAAAAAAAAAGAAGACACAGATAACATTAAGAATGGAAAGGGGACAAAATGGCATAGCAGAGATCTAAAAATTAATTAAAGCAATTTACAATGTATGACCTTTGAAACAGGTCCTTTATTATATCCTCATTTGGCAAACAAGGAAACTAAAACTCGGGCTGATCGGCTGCCTTGCCACAGCAGCCAGAACTGGAATCCAGGCTGGTCCACCTAACTCTCGAGATGTCACTCTTAGTCACCACACTATCCTTGGCTCTCCAGGTATGAACCACTAGACCACGGTGCATTACCTGAAGGATGTAGAGCTGAGGGGTAGAAATCAACTGGAGTCCGAGTAGGTGTGATTCGCGGGTCCATGTAGGAAGGCATCATCATCCACCTGGGGTCGAAGCCTAGCATCTGGGGATGGTGCGGGTAAAAGGTACGCTGCGGGTGAGAAGGCGGCGGGTACACCGGCTGCCAGTGCTGCATCTTGTACAGCTGCTCCTGGCCAGGGAGGAAGAGAAGCCCGGTTAGACACTTGCTGCTGGGTGCAGAGACACTGCCCACCTGCACACTCGTCCAGGTTTCCGGCAGGTAGCGCAGAATGCCCACTTGGAACAGAAGGTCAAGGAGGGAAGGGATGGGCAGCTACTCAAAAGGAGACCCCAGTGTATTATGGCTTTCAGGCTGGGGTCCCTCTCCTAAGCCAGGCCATTATCAAAACAGGGCTAACACACTCCTCTGCTCCACAAGACAGACCAGATTTTCATTTATATCAAACAATTTTCTGGAACTGGCCAAATGACCAGCACATCTCCCAATAAATCTCTGGATACTGGCCTCTTCTCTCCATTTCTACAACCACTACCTGAGGACAGTTGTCATCCTCTGTCTAGACAACTAGAAAAGCCTCTTCAATTCATTCTCCGCATGCAATTAGAGTGACCTTCTTCACACACACACACAACCTGATTATGTTGGCCCCGGCTTAAGAGCTTTTAATAGTTCTCTACTGCTCTCTCTACACCAAAGCCTCCACGTGATCTACAGGGTCCCTTGGGATCTTGGTCCCTCTACCTCTCTACCTGCAATACACATGACTATCTTTTACTCTCTGCTCCATCTGGATATATGCTTGCCTGTCGATCCCCTTTGGGACTTGGTAATACCAACCTCTCTGTCTGACAAGTTCCCCTTCTTTCCATTCCCAAACTTGGCTCACCCTTACTCTTTCTTTAGGTTTCAGCTATAAACAAACAAACAAAACACTTCCTCTGGGAAGCCTGTCATAATCCCCTGTTCTCACAGCACTGATTTTTCTCCTTTGTAGCACTAACAATAGCTTATTATTTTTGTTGCAGGTTGCCCTCAGTAAATTCTACGAGACTGTGCATGCCTAGTTCCCTGTGGCATCCTCAGTCCCTTGTACCACACTCGGTACATAGATGATACAAAAAAATTTTTTTGCATGAATGAATGATCATAAAGAATTAATCAACAGAACGTTCAAAATCAAGGCCCTTGACTCAGAGAGCTCATTTCAGACCCTGCTCTATTCCACCAGCGCCTCCCAGGTGCGACTTCCTGAGGTGAATCCTAGGTCAGCATTCCAGCAGGGCTCTATGCTGAGTCAGACTAAGAAGATAACCTACTCAATGTGCCTTCAGCGCATACTCTTCCAATCTGCAAGGAGAAAAATGCTGCCTAACCAGCCCAGCAGGCCAAGACAGTCCTGGGCTGGATTCCCCATGTAGATGGTTCCTGCTGGCACTCACAGCATCTTCTACAAGCACTCAATAATGCAGCTCATCAGTCAAGAGTCTTGAGTTACTAACTCTCCCAGTCTACACAGGAGGCTGCTAGTCTCTACTCCACAGCTCCTCCTTCTGTACCACCCCAGGGTCTCCAGGGAACCTGGCCAGACAGTCTGTTCACCAGATTCTTTCAGGCTGCCCTAGTGCTGACAGGTATCTTTCTAGTCTTAAGAAAGGATTTACCCATCACTGCCTTTCCTAAGTCAGAAGAGCAAGCTAGAGCAATTGTTACTGTTGTATTTAGCTCGTCACTCCAGAGATCTCCTGAATCAGTAATTCTACACCAAGTCCATAAGTAGTTATATAGTACTCACTTACACTACAATGCTGTAAAGGCACAATTAATGTAACTCTGCCTGTTTCAAAGACAGGACTCGGTGTGAGCCCCTAGAATAATTCCTAGGAGTCCAAAGAAGAGGATCTGGAGTGAAGGTTCTAAAGGAAACTAAAAGAGATGCTGCTAAAAGGCTTAAAACCTTTATTATGTTTCGCATGGAATATGTTTGAAACATTGTCAGTCATTATTAACAGTAATTTCTCGCACAGGTAGCTGTCAAGCACTCACTTATGCACAAAGTGCTATCGGGTATCATCTCAGTTTCCAGCCAAAACGCATTGTTAAACAGTAACAATTAATCTGTTCCTCCCAACTGGGCCAGATTACCAGCACTACAAGAGGCTGGTATGATTACTACCATCACGTACATGATCTTCTTCAGGGTAAAAGGCAGGCAGGTCCCTTTTAAGGTTTATGAAATGTCAGTAACGATAATAATACTGATAAACCAGCTTACGGACGTCACTTTCCAAGGCCCTCACAGCCACGCAGAGCAGCAGGTATTCATTCTTGAAGGTCAATAAACCCCAATATGGATTTTATTCATTCACAGGGACCTCTATCATTTAGAGAAACAAATAATGGCCAGGGACTGACACACCAAGGTCACAAATTCTGAGGTGTAAGTCTTAGTATCTCTGCTTGTGCTGCTCAGTATTCGGGTCAGTTTACCTTCTGAATGTCTTCTCTGTTTACCTGTTGCTGCTGCTGCTGTTGCTGCTGCTGCTGCTGGCGCTGGAATCTGGGAGGAAGTGACTTCTGATATTTGCTGAACTCCTGTGCAGGGGACCCAGCCTCCCTGGCCTCTTCCTCACTGCTGCTGCTCTGAGCAGCAGGAGAAGCAGTTGGTGCTTCTTCTGAAAATGTGTTGGGGGCTTCCTGGGCAGGGAACTCTGGGGAGCCTAGAGAACAAATCACCAGAGAAATGGCTGTGGTGGGCTCACAAAAGCTCTGCCAACCAAACACTTAACAGCAAATGCTTTTTCTTTGTGGGCACACACAACCCACGGCCAGACCATTAACGTCCCCGAACTCTGGCACTGTGCTGAATGGTTTCCGTGCACTAGCTCATGGATCCCCTACAACACACTGGGAGGAGGTTTTATTCCACCATCATTTTAGACATGAGAAAACTATGGATCTGAGAGGGTAGGTAAATCACCCAAGGTCAAAGAGCAGGGACCGGATTCCAGGTGGAAGAGGTTTTATTACAAAGGACCTAGTAAATCAGAAAGCAGCCACAAACTCAATGATGCTCACATATCTATCATGCAAACAAGTTGTTTAGCTTCTCCTTGGCCATTTCTTCATCTGTAAAATAAGGATCTTAACTGCGCCTACCTCACAGGTCTTTTGTGAGAATTAAATGAAATAATCCATGTATTTAAAATAGTGCCTGACATGGAGTAAATGCTCAACACACTATCCCATCACTATTCTCTCTGAGATTTCCTTCTCTGGGGCCCCAATTCCGCTTTATATTCTTAATCCTACTGCTGAGGGCTAACAAACCCTGATACAAAGGTTCATGGACCCAGAGGTGCATCCCAGAGGAATGCTGCAGATAGGTAGGGGTGGGAAGGTGGGGGAACTTCTGAAGTGAGGAAGGCAGACCAGATGCAATGCACACTCAACACCCAGGCCCACCCTAGATCAAAAGACCTAGTCTTCACGTCCACTCAGAGAACCAGCATCAACAAGCCACACTCTCCATCAGCCATTCTGAAAAATCCTCTAAGACTCACAGTCTTCACTCAAAGCTTAATGAAATGAGGTCAGGAGGAAAGTTGCAAATTTCCCTAAGTTCCTTGGCCAGAATAGTACTGATGACTTTTAGATGACCAATAAGTCCTCCACCTAAGAAGTTTTCAGGGACTGAAACAAACACTGTACCCTTGACTCGTAACAAGAACGCTGATCATATTCTTAAAAACTGCTACCAGAGACATTCTCCATTTTACAGTGCTGTTCAATGTCTCTTGCATTAGTGTGAACCATCCTCTTAGAATTAGTGCCGGGAAAAAATTATTCTAACAAGCAAGTGGGCTTCTTTTAATTCCATGGATAAGAATCCTATGCTTTTAATTAAGGTCCTCTAGCATTTGTATCTTTGGGTTGAGTATTGGCAGTAATGGTAATAGTGATAATGATGATGAAATTAATAATATTATCAGTAAGCATCTGCATGCTTTCTATATATACCGTAACTGTGCGAAGTGCTGGGAGGTACATACCATCATCTTCCTTTTTATAGATGAGGACGTAGGCTCCGGAAAGCAGAGATGCTTAGCCACTTAGTTTAAGATGCTGAAATACGATCTGAACCCAGGCATTTGACGTCAGAGCCTAAACTCTTAACTGATGTTTCCCAATATAATCTATCTAGTTGTAAGCCACAGATTGTACTGAGAAGTAGGTAAGATGCCAACAATAGGCCAATGAAAAGAGCCCAGTTTGTGAGCTGAGGGTCCATCTCTTACCTCTGTGAACAGCAGGGCCATTCTCCTGGAGGGGCACCTTCTCGGTGCCTGGAGATCGGGGGGCTTCCTTCTCTACCTGCTTCTGGGTCTCACTTGCCTTCTGGGCCTGCTTACACTTTTGGTCCAGCTGTTTGAGTTTAGCGGCACAGGCAGCCAACCTCTCTTCCCGGGCTCGGCGCTCCTCTTCTTCCCGGCGCTTGCGGGCTCGTTCCACGGCCTCAGACATCTCTGACTGGATGAACTTCTGTCGTGCGGGTGGCTTGTCCTCTTTTTCCTCAATGGACTGCTGCCGGAACATGCTGCCCATTGAGGACTTCTGCCAAGAGAAGGAAGTGCCTGATGAAACCGTAGGTCAAAAACTCAAGAGATACGAGCCACTACCATTTTGGGATCTGGTCTCCTTCCCAAGATCCTTGAGCACTTCTGAGAGGCAACACAGTGATTGCAATAAGCAGGTCTTTTACTGTATTTGGAAAAGGCTGGGGAAGTGCTACTTTTCTATACCTTAGCTCCGCATTTGTAAAATGAGGATAACAAAGGAAGCTCTTGTGATTGTGAAGGTGCAGTAATGTTTGCAGAGCACTCAGCACTGACGGACACATAGGAAACACTCAGTAAATGGAAGCTCTCACCACTGCTAATGGAACTGGATTAGGGCCTCCATGGCTAAATAACAGGTGCGGGAAACCCCACACTCACTGATTCTTCCTCAGTCACAAAAAAACTGCTCTACTCCTTCCCCTCATGAAAATATATAAACCTCTGGGCATAAACAGCCATGGAAAAACAGAAATTCACTGATACATGGTTTCAACAAAAAAGCATTTCTAAAACCATCTCTTTTGGACATTTTCCCACTTCTGAGTTTGTCCTTGGTTGCCAGTTACTAGACAACACCAGTGGCACCAAAGAGGTAGTGTTAAAACAAAAAAATCTCTCAAAACTTGGGAAGATTTCTCTCTGATCTGCAAGGAGGGAAGCTGCACACAGAACATAAATAGCATAAACGATGGGCAAGTTTAGCTGATCTCCAGTCACAATGAAATTCCAACAAGATCCAACTATCAAAAAAATATAATTTCCTGCTTTGAATGGTAGTTACACAGGTGTATACAACTGTCAAAAATCATGAAATGGAAAATACCCAAAATTATGCCTTTTTGTTGAGTAGATTCCAACTCATAGTGACCCTATAGGAGAGAGTAGAACCACCCCAGAGGGTTTCCAAGGAGCACTGGTGGATTCGAACTGCCGACCTTTTCATTAGTGCTCCTCCTTCCTCATAGCAGTGTATTAATGCGGTTTACTATTGTAACTCTTAACTACCGCCCCACCAGGCTCCACTTCTACCGCAATAAAATAAATATGCAACATTTATTGTAGTCAAGAACTCTCCTAAAAATTAATTTCTCATAATCCAGAGACAAGTACTGCAATTTTAAAAGATTATAAACTCACAGTTTAGAAGGATGAAGGTACTTTTTTACATAACAGTTGGGACCAAAGTGGGCATTTTTCTTTCACTTTGCCATCGAATGTTAACTTTTTCCCATGCTTTGCAACGGCAGCGTATTGTCTTGCTGCATACATATCCCTGATTATTTTTTTCAGCAGAATCAAAGGGTATACAGATGTCCCTTGGCATCTGTGGAGGACTGGTTCCAGGACCGAGGATATCAAAATCCATAGATGCTTAAGTCCCTTATAACCAAGACAATGTTTCTTTCACAAATTTGGTCAGAAAACTCTTTGGGATGTATAATTTTATTACATAGATTTTATAACTATCAACTCAACTTTGTTTATTAACAGTGTTACTATGAAAAGATCAAAGTGAAACCTTTTTTTAAATATTGAGCAACCTCAACCTATAAATGAAAAATTGAATTCCAAAAAAAGTGTTACTGGGTTTACTTTGTTTCACTTTTGTGTCCCCTGTACCTAGCACAGTATCTGGCATATAATGGTGTGGTGCGATTACTTTTGTGTGTGGCCTTTCTAGCCATGGTCTTGTGACTCCCACCCAGGTGACTGGATGGGGCTGTGCAAATAAGATAATTGTGGCCCAACAAGGGGACTGGTCAGTTTTGCCTTAAAGAAGAGCCAATTCCAGAGCAGAGAGGAGAGCCTACCACCACCAAAGAAGAAAAGACCCACAGCAGGGGTCGGGAACAGAGACCCACAGGAGATGGCCCACGAAGTGAGAAAGCTGAGTGCCTCTGGGCAGAGACTGAAGGCCAGAGAGAAGTGTACCTGACCCATGAATTTGGGACTTGCCAGCCTCCACAACTGCGTGAGCCATTTCCTTTACATGGTTCATCGAGTTCTGTGAGACACTGCAGCAAATTAGGGAATCTAAATACAGGAGGGAGAGAACTGAGGCGAGAGGGAGCAGTTGATGTTAGAGATGATAGAGTGGTACAGCAGCTTGGAAAAGTTAGACATCTGAGACATCTTCAACCTCCGCCTCATAGGAACCAGCTTTGTGCTGACCTTTATAAAAGAAATTTGTTTAAATGGGTATTCAATGGGGAAAAAAACAAGACTGAAGGTAAAGGGCATTACTTGTAAGAAAATATGGAAAAGGAGCTCTTTAAATAGCAAAGTACATTGAAAATGGCAAGTTTTACCAAGCATACTCAAAATAATGTCTTCCCCTTCTCCCACCTCTACCCCTACTGATTAATTCCCTCCTGAAGTCATTAGGTGTGGCAAAGAAGGTAGGCACCTGGTGCCAGAGGAGACCAAGCAGGCTGAGGAAGACATTCCTAAGGAGAGATGGCCCACGAGAAACTTCAGGGCACCCATGTGAGGGGAATGCCTGGAATGAGGGCACTGGAGTCCATGTAGGGTGAGGAAGGCATCTGTGCGAGGAAGAGAGCGTGGCAGCAGAAATGGAAGATTGGTCACATATGGAGGATTGACCAAGTATAAATATTACGGAAAACAGGAGAAAAGGAGCTACAAATACAGAAACGGAGAAAACTAGAATGAATTCTGCAAACTGGACTGGAATTAGAGGTATGAGTCTGAACTCAATGTTTCAATACAGACATAGAAATGATATAGATGTAAATGTGCACACGCGTGCACGCACGCACACACACACACACACACACACACACACAAATACATTCCCTAACTCCCAAGAGCAGTGAGCACTCCCGGTGCCCAGATATTGGTTTCCAAATATCATTCTTCACTAACAGGAACTAGCACTTCTTGGTGAAATGACTGATTCCAGGGCCAAGGCAGGGTAAGGACAAGATGAGCCTGGGGAAATCTTGTTCTGTCAGAAAGCAAGGAAGTGCTCAAAAAATGATGGAGATGTGTAAAAAGGACACAGAAGCCAATATGAAGAGGTTCTCAATGTTCAAATTAAAGACAACTTGAGTTTCAAAACAAATAATGAGAGTAACAGATTATAATCCAGTGAAATGTAAATAAATGAATAAATTGAAAGTTTGATGGGAAATGGGATATCTGCACAGTCTCAAAGCATCTCCTTGGAAAATTCTTATTAATTAAGAAGCTTTAAAGTGGGAAGCCTGACAGATCACCTTCATCAAGTGGTCAAAGTGAACACTTTGGGACAAAGGGAAATCAGTCACCGAGTTAGATACAATGAGAAGAGTCTGTCACTTCTATAAGATCCCTGCCAAATATGGATAACTTGAACCTAATGAATGATGAGGAACCACCAGACAAACCCAATTTCAGGAGCATTCCACAAAATCAACTGGCTCTTAATCTTCAAAAGTGTCAAAGTCATGAAAGTTAAGGAAAGACTGAGGAAGTGTTCCAGACTGAAAGAGACTAAATGACAATCAAAGGCAATATGTGACGCTGAACTGGATCCTTTCGCTATTAAAAAAAAAAAAAGACATTATTGAGACAACTGGTAAAAAGCTGAATAGAGTCGGAGAATTTAATGGCTAATTTCTTGATTTTGATGGCTGCACTGTGGTTATGTAAAAGGAATGTCCCTTTCTGGAAAGGAAATATATACCAAAGTGTTCTAGGATGATAGGGCATCAGGTCGGCAATATACTCTTCAAACGGTTCAGAAAAAAAAAAAAAAATTCTCTGTATTGTATTTCAAACTTTTCTATAAGTTTGTGACTGTTTCAAAATTAAAAAAAAAAAAAAAATTTTTAAATTAAAAAAAGGTCCACCTAGGACTTTTTAGGAACCCAGCCACTGAACTCTGTGGTGTACAAATGCACAACATACAAATGCTCAGCGAAATGATCTGTTGCAGTCTTTGTCTTGGAACTCTGGTCAAATGAATTTCAAAAGGGTGTGTGTGTGTGTGTACATGTGTGTGTGTCCGTCCGTCCCAGCTCATCTGCCTGGCACAGAACCCCTCAAGTGCCCATGGTACCTGATAGTCAGGGCCTGACGCCCAGCTGTGAAGCTTCCTGGAAGGTGGCTGAGATTCCGGCATCTTTCGGACGACACGGGACATGCCTACTGTCTCACCCCAGTCTTTTCCTTCCTCTTGGGTACGCTTGGCATCAGCACTGTCCGCAGAGCTCATTGACAACTGCCGCTGCCTTCTAGGGTCCCAACTGTTCCTAGGACAAACCACATTCAACATTAAGTTTTCCCAGTGAGCCCAAGGTCTGATCTTACTGGTTGCAGGCCTTGGGAATTTCTAAGTCAGCTTTCTATCTACCAATTTTCTCCATCACACTAGACACCCTTATGGGTGAAAAGACATGCCCAGAACACCAAAACTCAGCACCAACATTTACCAAGTGATTTATATACAAATCTCCAGGCAGGATATTTAATTTCTTACTTTATGCAAAGAGATGTCCAGTAAATAAAGGAGTTCAGGAAAAAGCAGGGAGTCAGTTATGGCCAACGTGTGTGCATGAGTGTATGTCTATGTACACACGTATGTGGAGGTGGAAGATGAGACAGGTAAGGTGGATTAGGAGATTACAGAAAGGGCAACAATTGCTAGTAACTTGTGACTTGACTTTGTGAGAAACACAGACCACATGAAGGTTCTTGATCCATCACGGAAGATCCATGTTTACAGAAGATGACTAAGGCACAGTGTGAAGGATAGGATGAAAGGAAGGAGATGAGTTGGCTAACCACTGAATGGTCCAGAAAAGAAAGGATGTTGGTCTCAGACAATGAATAGGAAGGGATGAAGTCAGGGGAAATTCCAGGAACCAATCATGTGTGAGGACATAAAGATTTCAAAGAGGATGTGAAAGCTGGGAGTTGGATATCATCAACCAGCACAGAGAACACTGAAAAAAGAACAGGTTAAGGGAGGAGGTGGTTTAGATAATCTAAATTTGAGGTGTCCTTGGTTTTAGCCAGTGGCAAAGTTGGGTGCAAAATCCATGTCTCGCTTGATTGGTTGAATATTTGACTCACAACAACTGAAAGAGACAAGGAACAACGTGTCCTACTGCTCCAATAAGTCTCTAAGATTTTATGTCTTGCCTTTGATTTAAATTCTTGATTGTACTTCTTTTTGAACTTAGTGTTCCAATAAATGACCAACAAAGATTTCATAAATACATTCAAAGTTTTGGGTGAAAAGAAACAGCATCAAAATAAATTACGCCAGCCTCAATTAGCTAATTTTTATGTATCATCAGAGAAAGAGTGGCAGAAGATCATTTCAAGTTCTCTCCAGAAGGAGCACTTACTTCTGGAGCTTTGAAGCAACAGATGAAATCACAAAGAAAGAGACTTGTGGACTGGACTATATAAAAATTCAATTATTGACAATAAAGAGGAAAACACTTGCAACAAACAACGAAGCATTAATATCAAACAATATAAAACAATCCATTCTAAAGGAAAACACAATGAGTCCAATAGAAAAATGTATGAATGAAACAGGCAATTTCACACAAAGGAAAGCATTTGTATTTCCTAGTACTCAACAAGAAAAAAATCGCAAATTAAAGCAATCATAGGCACTGTTTAAAAAGTAGTAGTCAATGCTACTGAAATTATGATAAAAACGAGAGGGACAACAGTACAATGAAGTATTATCCAAAGGTGGTATGAGTGAAACTGGACCAATAAAATGATTTTTTAAAAAAAAGATGGAAGTAGTCAATTAAGTGTGGTAAATCTGACCTGCTCTGCATACTGCTTCTCTCCCCTCCCCAGAGATTCCCAATGTACTTTGGCATACTCAAGGTTTGGTACATCTTGGAGTAAACAAGTCAGTTGAGCCCAGAGTGGTTTCCCAAACTTGCCTGGGCACAGAACTCTTTTTGTGCATGATACCCACAGACAACCTGTGGAACAACTGGTCTGCATGACACGTTCTCGGAAATAGTGGCACAGGGGTTACGATCACTAGCTTAGGACTCAGATCTGTCTGGATGCAAACCCTGGCTCCATTCCTTAACAGCTGTCTCAAGAGCTATCATTCCTTATCTGCAAAAGAGGAACAATATCTGCACCTTGAGAGGTTGCAGGGGTAACTATGAAATGCACTTGGCACAGTGAGCAGCACATGGCAGCACCAACAAGCCCTGCGGCATGTACATACTGGTCATGTCAGGTTACAATGGCATGATGCGTGAACCCGAGTGGGGATCCTTACCACTTTGGTCTGCCATCCTTCACAACTTCTTCCTCTTCTTCATCGTCACTGAATTTCAATTTCTCAGAATAGTCCACTTCTTCATGAAGGCCTATAACAGCAGGAGGGCCCAAGAATTATGAGAAAAAATGAGACTTTCAATGTTGCTTAGAGCACCACAGACCACTTCCTTGAGTTAAGAATTATGCCAACCCAACTGGTGAGTAAGTCAAGCTGCCCAGCGGCTACCACCAGAACAAACACTATGGATAAAAGCGAAGGGCCATTCTGGCTTCAGACTAACCTTCTCTGAGATAACAATTCTAAAATCTGGACAAAATATTAAAAAATATATATTTGAAAGGCAGAGGAGAGTGAGCAAAAACAAGCAGAAACCGGGCAGGACTCTACCCTTGCAATACAGAAACTTTACTAGTGAGATCTAAACAGACATTTCTCCTAAGAGGACATACAAATGGCCAAGCACATGAAAAGATGCTCAACATCATTAGTCCTCAGGGAAGTATAATAAGACAAATGGGAAAAAAAAATAAAAGGCATATAAATTGAAAAGATATCAAATTGTCCCTATTTACCACTTCACTCCCACTAGGATGGCTAAGATAAAAAAAAAAAAAAAAAGATGGCAAAGATGTAGAGAAACTGGAACTCTTATCCATTGCTGGTGAGAATGCCTGAGGTCTTAAAAGCTTGCAAGTGGACAACTGGTCTCTATTCATCTGGAGCAACAGATGAAGAAGGAGAGTCAGGAATAGGAGGATATGGAATGTATGGCTAACTGCCTCCATGAACAACTGACTCCTTTGCCATGAGACCAGAAGAACTGGATGGTGCCCAGCTACCATTACTGAACATTTTGATCAAAGATTCTATAGAAGAATCCTGGTCAAAAGGGGGAAAATGCACAACAGAATTTCAAATTTTCATGGACTCCAGACTTCCTGGAGCCATGAAGGTTGGACGAACACCTGAAACTAGTGCCCTGAGATAATCTTTAAACCTTAAACCAAAAATATCCCCTGAAGTCTTCTTAAAATCATATAACAGTTCAGCTTAAGTAGCAAAAAATAGTCTGCTTTCAGTGTTAATGGTCTTTTAAGAACTATCTATATGGGATCAAATTGGCAACAGCAAATCAAAAGATTAGATAGGAACCTTAGGGGGCAGTGAGTTTATGTTAATGGGGGAGGAACAACTCAGAAAAGATGTGCACAACTTGAAGAATGTAATCAACGTCACTGAACTGTACATGTAGAAAATGGTTGAACTGGTGTATGTTTTGCTGTGTATATTCTCAACAACAAAATTAAGAGAAAAAAAAACTTAAGATGTCACTTCTTCCTAAATATATTCAACACACTCCCAACGAAAATGCCTGCAAGCTCTTTGAAAATGCTGACAAGTTGGTTTTACATTTATATGTAAATGCCAAAGAACTTAGAATTGTCAAAATAATCTTGAAAAAGAACAGTACCTAAATTTAAGACTTACTATAAAACTACAGTGCAGTATACAAAGTATGAACAAATAGATCAACAGAACAGAGTCGAGAAATAGACTCACACTTACATAGTCAACCGATTTTTGGCAAAGGTGCCAAAGCAACTCAATAGAGAAAGGAAAGTCTTATCAACAAATAGAATGGAACTGGATATCTGTATGTAAAAAAAGAAAGAAAAAAAAAAAAACCAGAAGGAAGAAGGAAAAAAAAAAAAAAAGAACTTCAGTCCCTATCTCACAATATACAGAAAAATTTATTCAACATGGATCATAAACCTAAAAGTTAAAACTATAAAACATCAGGAAATATCTTCACCACTAGGGGGGAGGCAGAGATTTTTCAGATAGGATCCAAAAGTATTAACCATAGAAGAACAAATTCATAAAGTACACTTCATCAAATTAAAAACTTCTGCTCATCAAAACTGTCAAAAAAAAAAAAAAAAGGAAAGCCACATAATAGGAAAAATTTTTGCAAAATATTTACCTGTCAAAGGACTCATATACAGAATAGATAAAGAAAAAAAATCCTCCAATCTAATAAAAACGAAACTGAACAGACACTACAGTCCCTACAGATATACAAGTAGCCAAAAAACACACACAAAATGCGCTATTATCATTAGTCATCAGGAAAATACAAATTAAAAGCACAATGAGATACCACTATACATGCACTAGAATGACTGAAATTCAAGGGACTAACACAAAATGTTGGGAGAATGTTGAGTGACCAAATTTTCACAAATTGCTGTTGGGAATGTAAAATGGCACAACCAACCACCTTGGGAAAAAATCTGGATCATTCTTATAAATTTAGTCATACATCCACCAGGTATATGACCCAATAATTCCACTCCCAGATATACACTGAGAGAAATGAAAATATTATTCTTAATGAGACTGGATAAATAACTGTAGTATATTGATACAACAATGTAGAGCCTAGAAATTAGCTCTGACTCTATGGCAACTGGTTTTTGGTTTACTGATACATACACCAACATAGAGGAATCTCAACAGCATTATGCTGAGCAACAGGACCTGAGCACAAAAGAATCATAAAAGTCATATGATTCCATTCATATGAAGTTTTATAACAGGTAAAACTAATCTATGGTGAAAGTATTAAGACTGGTTGATTTTTGGGCAGGACGGCAGGAGGGGAGGAAGACTGACTGGGAAGGGACTGGGGTGAGGAAGTGTTCTATATCTTGACAGGGGTGTGGGCCACACAAGTGTATTAACCAAAACTGTACAATTGTGTCTTTCAATGTATATAAAATTTATCTGAAAACAAACAAACAAAAAGAACTGTTAAAAAAAATAATAATCAGGTAGTGGGATGAGGCATGGGTGGAGATAAAGAAACAAGAATGGAAGAATGTTGGTACTTACTGAAGCTAGGTGATGGGTAACTGGGAGTTCATTATACTATTTTGTTTTGTTTAAATTTTCCATTACAAAAGGTTTTTTTTTTTTAAGCGTTAACAGTAATATCTTCCACAGCTCTTAAGAACAAGACCGAAAGAAGACACCACTCAGTCAGGAAGCAACCACTGGTCTGACTGCAAATGAGGACCCATATGGGGCATCAAAGATGCTCTCCCCCTGCCCCCTCCTCATTCTCATCTTGCCAAGGGAAAATATACCATGATGTCAAAGGGCTTGTGTCCCTGGTAAGCAGAGACGGACTTCAGTCTTGCTTTTTCTAAACCATTTGTTTTAAGTCCACCGGGAAACACCAACCCACCTGCCCAGCCATCATCAGCATCAGTGTCCAGGTCATCAAGGCCCTTCAGGTTTTCTGCATTGATGATGGTAGGCCGCGGCGCTCGTTCCACCAGCTGCCTTAGTGGACGGATTGGGCGAGCCATTCCCAGCCTGTTTTCTTTTCTGATAAGGGAGAAAAGAGTACAGGTGCTGGACTTGTGTCAAGCATACAGCTAGAAGCAAAACCAAGTACCTTTCCAAAACTAAGTCCTACATCACAAAGGTTCATGTTTGAATTTAATGTTTAAATCATTTCCTTTAAAAAGAAATACATAATGAACAAATACATCTCAGAGAGAAGTTCTGTCTCATTTTGCAGTTTTATATGCTCAGTGCTAATGTCTAGGCAAAAAGCACGTGCCAAAATATCAACTCTCCCAGGAACTTGAAATCTTAACTCAATCTCTTGTCCAGCCCCAAATGCCAGTCACCACACACACTCTGGGGTCTGGGGTTGGTCTTTAGATTCACTGCGGTCTCTAGAGGACAAAGCACTTTCATACATTAGCCCATTATCTTGTCTATTACCACCACCAGCAGTAATCTCTATATACATGATTATAATGTAATAGCCTTACCCATCTTGGTCATTCATCTGGAACTGTCTAAAAGGAACACGGGGTTCAAGGCGGAGCTGAGGAAGGGGAAAAGATCCTCGTTCCACTGTACCCTGGTTCTCTGATGACTGTGGTGAACACATCTGAAACATAACATCAATGAACAGGATTTTCTGGTAATAGACCAAATTCTAAGCTTCACTTGAATTAAGAGTTTCTTTTGGAAAACGGAAAATGGGAGAAAGAAAACAAGAAAGTCTCGGGGTTTCCTACTCAATCCTACCACCATTTCCCCCATTTTTTTCCTGCTGCTGGTAGGTAAATTTGGGGACTTGTGCTTTGGGGAATACCTGCCTCTCCTTCTTCTAAAGAATCAGGGCTAAAATAACACCCATATCACCAGGGAGAGAAGCCAAAGGCCCTTGAGATTTAAAAAGGGGGAGAGAAAATACAAAAACTAATGGAAACCTTCAAAGTAAGGTATCAGGGCAAAGAACGAAACTGGGAGGGAGAACTCAAGGTGGACATTCAACCACTTGAACTAGGTTCTGCTGGACATGAACAATCCAACTTCATGGGATAAAAAAATGTACACTCTGAAGACTTACAAAAGCAGGAAGCATGTCATGGTATGTAGGTGGGTGGTATACATTTCCCATGAACTGTGAAGCCCCTTTTCGGACAGGCTGAGCCGGGCGGAGAGAGGGGTCCTTAGAATCGCTGGTACATGTCGAGGAGGGGGCTCCGTCTCCCGTACTCGAGTTCCTGCTGCCCAGCTCAGTTGGGGAGGCGCTCAGAGACGTGGTAGAAATTATGTTTCGCCCACCGCCCTCCCTCCAGCTTGTCACATCTGGAAATTGAAAGGGGGCAAAAGGGAAGAGGAAAGAGGAGGGGGAAGGAGGGATTGTATGAGGTTCTGAAGGTCAAGGGACCCCCTCATTTACCAAAAACAAAAAAATAAAAATAAAAAAACCAAAAGTGAAGAATCAAGTCAATTTGTCAAGTCTGTCAGGGAAGGTAAGGGGCAGACACCTAGCCAATGGGTATGAACTTGCTGAGGGAAGAGTCTGATTGTAAGAGAAATATAAAATAAAGTCTACTCAGAAAGAAGGTGAGGCAGGGTAAGTAAGACATGGTCCTCATCTATTAATAGAGATTACATATGCCCCCAGATCTTACACCCTAAAGAAATTAAGAGAACCCTGATGAAAAGAGCCTTGAGTCATTCCTTCAACAAATACTGACCTAGCCCTCATTAGGGTCAGCACTGTGCTCAGTATTGAATTTATATTAAAACTAGAGTTCTTGAAACAACATTTTCAGCTTTGTTTAGCAGTGGCACCTTTTTACAAAGACATTAGCCCATTCATAAGACAGATAAAGCAGAGCTGCTATCCTTCTGGTGGGGATGTGGAAGGGTCTGGAGCCCTACCCACCAGGCCTTGTCCCTGCCTTCTCCCACAGCAGCCTGTAAGGTGCTCCTACAGGTCACAGATGGAAACCTGCAAACCTATCCAGCTATCTTTTTAAGGTGATGCTCTCCATTGCAAAATGTAGCAAGATCCAATGAAAATTATTACAGACCTATGAGAAGTTAGATGAGACCAAAGACCCTACCTTTCAGTCAACTTTTGATTAAAGGTTTAAAAATAAAAGGTCTCTGAGCTATGTGACCCCTAAGAGAAAGAGAGCCAGGACAGGAGCCACAAAGTTGAGTCTGCTTCCAGCTCTTCAACTTGCCATGTGATCTTGGGCAAGCCCTCTGGCCATGTACATTGTCTTCTCAAATGAAGATACAGAAGCAAATCCAGAAGTTTCTACTTCTAAATTTCTACAGACTTACAAAGCAGCTCATCTGAATCCCAGAAAGATACAATTTTTGGTCTAAAGAATTTGATTATGTATTTGGAGCACACAAAATGACCCTGTGTAAGGCCACTGACAAAACAGTAATGTTTTAAGTAATAAGTTGCTTACTGATCATTAATTTACAAAATGTCAGTTCTGACTTTGGGATACTGTACCATAAACAGAAAAGGCCTTGAGGATTAATCAAGACAAGCAAACAAAAGCCCCCCACATTTCAAGACCTGATCAAGTCCCAAAATACAACAGCCAATTCAGAATCCCTACCTAGAAGAGACCAAAAATCACATTCCTAAACAACAAATATTACCAGCAAGTATTGCTACACAATCCTGCTGACTCCTCAGCCAGAAACCAGTGCTGGGCTGGCTACCTAACAATCCCCAGGGCAACATATTACAAACACAGATTCCAATTTGACCGGGGGCAAGAGGGGAAGACCTTAGAGATTAGTCTTTTTTAACCAACTCCCCAAGTGATTCTGATAGGATTCAGCTAAGTTTGGCAAACAACGGTTTAGAAAACAAACTCCTGAATCAGGACTCCAGTTAATTGGTCCTTTGCCTGTCACTGCCACGACCAGGCAAGCATAACAAAACTAACATTTGGATGACAGATGGGAAGGGGACAGCCCTGGCCCAACCCAAAGGTCAAGAAAGGCAGATGTGACCCCTAGAATAGCCTAGGGAATCCTTCCAACAGATGCAAAGATCAGGTAAAGAATCAACAGCCCTGCTTTCCAGATAAGTATCCTGCGACCCCAGGAGCTTCAGCTATTCGTGAACTGGCACACATCTAAAAGGGCAGAAAGACAAGAAGGGGAAGTCCTGCTGGTCCAACATGTGCCAAGACAGAGGCGGCTGTTCACTTACTCTGAGGGCGGAGGCTTGGTCCTGGCCCATACGACAGATCTAAGACGCCCTTTTCTTTGCCAGCCTTGTCCTGCCCTCCAGCTGCTTTCAGCGTCGGAAATTCCTCGGGAGAGAAGGATAATAGTCGGCTTGAGCCCCTTAAACCTGCCAAGAAAACCAGAAAGACTTAATGGAGCAAGTGAGATCAGCATCAACAGTTCTCTCCTTTACAAATCCCATAACACGTTTAAAGCCACTCTGCCCAGAAGTGGGCTCTTTTTAAGTGAGCTGTGTGATGCTGGCAAAGCAGCACTACGGGGTCCCTAAGGATGACAGGGAGAGCATGTTGCTGGCCACAACTGCGCCACATCCTTGCCCAGCAGGTGCAGACTGTCGGTTAAAAAGGGCATGGGGTAAGACAGCATGGCTACTCCAGCCCACATCCTTCCCTCTCCTGGAAGAAGTCAGTAAGGCCTCTCTCACTGCCCTGGGTGGCAGATAATCACAGTCTTCAGTAAAATCAGCCCAAGTCAGACAACTGCTTTCACATGGAGGTAATGGCAACTGAAGGTATGTCTCTCCCTGATGCCTCCCCAAAGGTCCTTGCCCTAAATTTACACACAAGAGTTTGTGTAAACTGACACTCCTAGCTCATCTGTCTTTCTTCTGCTCATTTCAATTTACTGTTTTCTATAAAGTTCCTCAAGCCTTTCAGGGCCAAACATTTTACTTTTATAACTCAGGGATCCATTTCTTTCTTTGCTCTCTACCTTTTCTTATTTTGCTTATCACCTATAGCACTTAGCACAGAGTATCATTAATCTTTTTCTTTTTTTGGATGAATAGGTAATAAATTATGCATTTTAGGAGGGAGACTTGATTCTTTTATCTAGAATATGCAGCACATGCCCAGGACTATGTAAATGTAAAAAGTGCGGTAACATCACACACCACAATGTCTGACAGTGGCATCCCCCGCTCCCCATACAGTTAAACTCAAAGTTCCCCTCAGGTACAATTCTCAGGACCACTGATTCATGGACCTGTTAACTAAGGCAGACTTTGCCAGAAAGATGCAGCTGCGACTAGTGCAGATGCACAAGGCAGCCATTCATTTGCCCTCCTCCTTAGTAAAAAGGTCCAGGGTCAAATAAACCTGCCAGGGTGATAACTGGACATATTATTCACCAACGATTAACCTGAGAGAAAACCCCCAAGTGTCACAAAGGACCTCTACTGTTCTACTGAAGGAGGATGTTGACTCACATAGTCACTTCATTTTGTTAAAGGTCAGTGGCAAGAATAAAACAGGAGAAGACGTATTTTTAAAACATGGTAATTTGAAATTAGGAAACAAACAGCAAATTCCAATACTGCTGTTCGTACTTTCTTTCTGCCTCAACATTCATGAAGGTATCATCATAATGCATGAATTAAATTTATCCTCCACAGATGACTAGGATAAAGGGTAGAACTCAAAATCTCAAACCACAGCAGTAGTATTCCTAAGGTTTCAATGTTTTGTATGTTCACCCAACACTCCTTCAAACGTGAGAATCCCTCACAAAATCTGTTCTCTGCCGTGAGAAGCTGAGGCAGTAAAATGAAGCGGCTTCTTCTTCCAAGGTCACAAATGAAGGCAATGGCAATGCTCCTGGCACCAGAACCTATGAGCGTTGGGTCTCTGGCCTCTACCCAAATCACATACTCGGGTCTCCTGGGTCTGTTTCAGGAGGAGAATTCTCAGGTGAGACAGATCCAATACCAATCTTCTACATGGGCAAGAAGAGTATACAGATTCAGGAAAAGTCTTTTTTGAATTCCAAAGAGTTATGACAATGTTTGTAGGCTGACACCTCCAAATCCCTGCTCTTCTGCTGGCCACACAGCCTTGTGACCCCAGCACAAGAGGAAGACCAGGAGCCTGGCTCTCACCCCAGCCTGGCTGGGCCCTGAATGTGTCAGTTCTCTCCTCTCCAGCTGCTGGGTCTGCCCGTCTCACAGATGAGCTCTCAGGGGTTTGCAGAGTACTGTACTGTGCTTTCTAATCATTTTTAAATTAAGTTTTATTTTCAAGAGTAATACAGTCATACAGTTCAAAAGCAAAAAGGCATACAAAGGTATAAATTGAGACCTTCCTCCTATCCTTGTGCCTCACCTGCCTACTTGTGACATCCTCAAAAAACAGGTAGTTTTGTTTCCTTACAGAGATTTTCTAAAAAATATACATACAACGTTTTTTTAAAAAGTGTGTTTTCCCTCATCGTCATTTTTTGTACAAATGGTACCATTCTATACATACTATTCTGTACCTTTCACTTAAACTGTATCTTGGAGACTTTGCCTTATTAGTAAAGAACTTTCACTTTTTTTTTCTTTACAGCCAAATAGTATCTCATTAAGGTAACATAAATTGATCAATATTTCAAAGACTGTATCCAATCTTCTACTATTACAATGTTAGAATGGATAATCTTGTATGGAAATGAATAATGCATCATTTCACACATGGGCCAAGTATAATTTATAGGATAATTTTCTAAAAGAAGAACTGCTAGGTAAGGATAAATACATTAGTATTTTGATGTTGTTGTTGTCATTAGGTGCCACCAAGTCTATTCCAACCAATAGTGACCCTCGATTCCAACTTACAGTGACCCTATAGGACAGAGCAAAACTGCCCCATAGGGTCTCCTAGGCTGTAGTCTTTATGAGAGCAGGGAGATAGTCAGGTCTTTCCTCCCACAACGCTAAGAGGTGGGGCTGCACTTCCCCCGCCCTATTGGAGTCACGAGCATTTGGACCCAGTTCCTCTGGAGAAGCTGGGGCTTTGAAATCTATCTGGCACAGTCGTTCACTATTTGTCATTTCCCATTCAAGACTGAGGAAAAGTCTTCAATCACACAGTGATTTCAACCCAGAAGGGGCACGTCTTCTTAAGCACAGGAGTTTGGGGTGGGGCTTTAGCAGAGGATGGAACTGTAGCTGTTTTTCTAATACAAGCCTTGGCTGGCAAGGATATGCGAATGACAGAGGACGATACTCCAACAGGACGCAAAGGTTTAAAAAGCTTGCCTGTGCTGTTTAAGAGAAGAAATAGCAATTGTGGATTTTCATTAATGTATTACTTTGAAACAACTGCTCATAACATTATGACTCTCTATCCGGCTCGGAGGCTTTGCCTAATTTGGTCTGCATGGTGTGCTACAAATGTATGAACCAACCTTTAAAAACCAGAAAAGTTCATGTAAAAAATCTGGATTTTTATTTGTTTTGCTTCTCTCAAAACCACCCAGTGACCCTAGGCTTGCATTCTCAGATGGCACCAAACACTGGGGGAGGGGAGTAGAAGTGTGGCTACCCCTTTGTCCAAGATACACACTCTGTGGTGTGTCACGGTCCTACTCCCTCTTGTCCATCACCCAAACCACTCTATACTGTTCCGGGCCTGGCCTTGGAAGCCATTTGAATTTGTAATTCTCATTCTAAGTAGCTGCCCAGCATTTATTTTTGAAAACTCTAAACACATTCTTCTTCTCCCCATCTCCTCCACCTTTCTTCTACTGAACTACTCTGTAGTAGCAGCAGCCAGCTACGCATTCTGAGTGCCTCCTACGTCAGGCACGACGCTAATGGATAACAAATACCACATAACTCTGATTGCTTTTGTGTAAATGTCCAAAACCAAGCAGCTCAATTCCCAAGGATGGATTATTTGCAAACCCATGCCTGAAGCTAACACTGTGCAACACAACACCTCCTCCTTGCAGTCCCAAGAGAGAGGGAGTAGATGTTATCTTGGCAACACTAGTCTTGTTGTTAGGTGCTGTTGAGTTGATTCTGACTCATAGCGACCCTATGTACAATAGAAGGAAACACTGCCTGGTCCTGCACCATCCTCACAATTTTTAATTTGCTTGAAGCCCACTGTTGCAGCCACTGTTATCAGTCCATCTCGTTGAGGGTCTTCCTCTTTTTCGCTAACCCTCTACTTTACCCAGCCTGATGTCCTTCTCCAGTGACTGGTCCCTCCTGATAACATGTTGAAAGTATGTGAGACGAAGTCTCACCATCCTCACTTCTAAGGAGCATTCTGGTTGTACTTCTTTTCTGAGACAGTCATACCTACTGAGCAGGTATTAACTCCATCAGCAGCACAGCTGAATTAAAGAATAGCAGGGCCAGCCACTCAAGTCTCAAGAGGAATGTCTTCAGCAATAACTGTCAATGAAATCGAAGAGCTGACATCATTTGCAGAATCAGCACTTCCACCACTGTCGCAAAGGCAAGAGCTCCAGAGAGAATTAACCCTTTCAGGTAAGAGACGCCACAAAGCATCTAGGCCAAAGACTGCCTAGACCCAGCCAGAGAGGTCCAGTAAACGTACACACCTCTCCTACCCATCCACCCCAGCATCACACACATATACTTACCACCTTCGTGTCCTACTGGCTTTCCATTCAGCTGTGCCCATGACTTTGGTCCACCTGGCGCTGAATTTGTATTCTGAAAGAAGGAAGAAAATTAGAACCCAGACAGTCCAATCAGTCTACTGAGTGTGTTAGGACAAGGAGCTAAAGGGCCCAAACCTTAGGTTTAAAGCCTAGGTGGATGCAACAACTACCACTTGCTGAGCAGTATCTGACTAGGGCAGCATCACAGGCATCACCTCACTCTGTGCAGCAGGCTAGGAATCAGGGGCTACAGGTCCACTTCACGGATGAGGAACAGGACAGGGGAAGTGGCCAGCTCAGTCACACAGCTGGTTATACAGAGGAGCCAGGATTCAAACCTATGTTTGCCTTCACACTGTGCTCTGGAACATTGTTAGCTTGCCTCTCATGTCCGACTAGAGCTACTTTGTCTTGCTCCAGAGACAAAGACCAAATACCAATTCTAGCACGTCTCAAAAAATGCAAACACTGGAAATACAACGTGCTCGATCTTTTGCTGGATGAGACAGTTGCATCACCTTCTGTAACTACTGTTATTCTACAAGGCATGACTCCCAAGTGAGAGGCCTTCCTCCTCCACTAACCTGGACTTGTGCCATCTTGGACTCAGCCCTACTGGCTAACCTTTGTTGAAAGCTGACTATGGGCCAGGCATTATGTCAGACATACCCTGCCTTACTGAGTTCTCATCACACCCTGGGAAAGTAGGTTCTAAATGATCCTGACTGATGCTCAGAAAGGAGTGACTTGATTCTTAGACATCCAGCTTGAGTGGCAGGACCAAGATTTATCCCCAGCCTGACTGTGCCCAAAGCCCCTTGGGTCCTCAACCACTGAACTTGTCTGCCTTTACCAATGACGTACAACTTAAGAACCTTCCTCTTCCAACTGAAGGTAAAGACACAAAACAAAGCTGGCACAGAATGAAGTTTCATCACTCACTGGGTTAGAGATCAGATTAAATAATTACTCTGTCCTATCACCACCCTTCAAATCCACCCTCCACCACCTCCACATGCACACAAGGCAGACAAGTGCCTCTCCTGCCTTCAGTGTAGAGGTGACAACAATCCATTTATTTATCAGTTTCCCTGAATGCTTTATATGGATGGTATGGAACCCCTACAGGTCTTCCCCACACAAACCACAGAAAGGATGTGCCAGCAGCATAACTTGGCAGTGAAGGTGAGGTTGGACACAGTCCCTCAAGTGAGCTGGCACAGCCTTAAAGTCCCACAGGAAGCAGAGAGGTACCGGGGCCAGTCTTAGCTCTCCTCCTTCACAACACTGCAATCCCATGCCCTCCCACTTAGTGCTTGTAGATACTAGGATTACTTCCCTATCCCTATCCACCAAGGCACTGCCTACAGGGCCACAAAGGGGTTACTAACATTGTTGGTGAATTTTATCCAAGAGCAGAAACTGCTGTAATACCTCTGAAGTAATGTTTTAAAAGTCACAAAACATCAGGAATCTCTTTCACCTCTTACTTGCCTCCAGAAATGAGAGAAAACCAGGTAACGGCTAAAAGGAGCTGAGCGCTGGACAAAGTAACCTATATACCGACTCCAGGACTGGGCTTCTCAACCCTGGCTGCAGAACAGCCAGCCCCCTTGGCAACTTTTTTCCCCCAACTGTCCGAAATTTCTATAACCTTGCTCTATAGATGGTGTAGAGCAAGGCCTCAAACCATTTCAAAACGTTCTTGCAAGCACTGTAGGGATGCACGGGGCCACTCCAGACCCAAGCACACTGGAGGCTTGCAAGGCAACTTCTTTTTAATAGATGCCCAGAACCATACTCAGGCCCCAACCCGGCATCTCCAGTGGTGAGGTTCAAGCACATATATTTTTAACAAGTTTCAAAGGCAATTCTGATATAGACAGGGCTGAAAAACCAGGATTCCATAATCTCACTTACCTTTGAATTCTGGGGAAAAAACATGAACTCAACTCTCTGTACTCTGGCCAACAGGGCCCAGTGGATTTAGAGCAATAAATACAGAATCTCACATAAATCTGGATTTCTTTTTCTTTAATTTCAAAAGCACAGTTCAGTGTTGGGTAGGGGCAGGTTGTCCCTCTGGCAAAGCCATAAACTTTTCCCACATATGGTTAGGTTAATGCAGATGAAGATGACATCACAGACCTTATTTATACTGCCCAGGTAGCCATACAAAACGAAAATAGGGCAGATTCAAGTTGTTTTCAAGAGACCTGGTGAATGCTAGGTAGCTATGCCTAGATTTCTTTTTGTCTTCTAAAAAAATTCATTGACTTCTCAACTAGATTTCTAGCTACTAGCTAAATATCTCCTGCTGATCTCTGTAATCCCCACTTAGAGAGACAGGCTCTAATGGACAAGTATATTATGAGCTCTTGCTTGGTTAAATCATTAATTTCTATTTAGAAAAAATTTTTAAATGTATCAACAAATAAAGGATGATATTCTGGGTATTTCCCAAAGTGTGCTCTGAGAGACACTAGTTCCTGGAGACATTCAGTGTGAAAAAAGGGTTCCTAGCACAAATAAATTTGGGAAATGCTATCCATTACATCCTCTTCTTAGAGGCTCATAAAGTAATTGACATATTAAAGGCACTGAGGAGTGCTACAGAAAAGAAGCGTGTCTAATTTTGTGTTTCAAACTCATCTGCCCACTGATCTTTTCTGTGGCCTGACACTTTTTGTCTTCCTACAACTCCAGTTTCCATGAAGCACATTTGATCTAGCCTGTAATCTAGCCTGGGGGGCCTACAGGAATAAATTGGGTAGTAGTAGTCTATTCTGTATCTGAGATCTTTCTCCAAAAGTTGCAGATTAAGTTACTTCTTCAATGACCATGACAATCTTTCATCCTCATTTTCCAAAGTTACGCATCATGTTTGCCCCTGGAATAAACAGGTCGTGCAGAACCACACCTCTCAGTGACAGCGCCTACCAGTTCCCAGCAGCAGGGACCTTCAGGAGCTACAAGGCCCGAGAAACAATCAGGACATGGTTCCCAGAACCTACCTCCGGACTGATTGACTGTGTCGGTTTCTGTAAATTGGAGACAGATTTCTGCAAACCCGGCTGCGGCAGCGACTCCGGCGGCTGAGAGGCCGTTGCACTGGAACTAGACAAAGGCAGGATACACAGTTGGGATTAGACACAGCATAGGGATGAGCTGACAAGGTGCCTCCGAATTTCACGAAGCCGCAGGTGCTCAGCTGCTCACCGGGAGCAAGACCTCCTCTGGCCAGTAAAAATAACACCTTCCCCAACAGACTCTTTGGCAGGCAGAGAATGAGAGACCAAACCATGTTTGAGGTCTGTTCACTCTCTGACATTTTGCAGGACACAGCATTGTCTGCCTTTCAGAAGAGTCTTCTGTCTGCAAAAACCAAAAGTCCCTTGTAAGCAATGAAAGCAATGGAGGAGTTGCCAATGGAGAAATTGAGTCACTGCAAGGAAGGGGCTCTGAGTCTCCCACTCCTGACCAAGAGTTCACAATTACAGGGGACTGACTGCCCTGAAACATGAGGGTTTTTTTTATCATCTTTTTGCTCATCAAAGAAATATATATTCATAGTGAACATAAATTTAGAAATATATATAACAGAGAATTCCTCACAATCTCATCTTCCTGAGAAAAACTCCAAGCAGATTTTTCTATACATATGCTAATATACAAGTTTTTAACACAAATGGGATAATACCATACATTCAATTCTGTAAGTTGCTTTTTTACTTAATGTATCTTGAACATCTTTTCATAACACTACATATGGATCTACCTCTTTCTTTTAAGGACACAGCAGAATACCAACTGGATGGACCCTAATTTAACCAATCCCCTTTTTTTCTATTACAGATAAAACTGCAATGAACATTTGTGTATTAGTATTTTTGCACACTTGTGTGTAAATAATTCATTAGTATAAGTTCTTAGAAACACAACTGCTGGATCAAAAGAGAATAATGTTTTGAAGTTTAAAAGATACTGCCAAACTGCCCACTAACAGGTTGTGTCAGTTTACACTTCACAGTAATCTTTTGACAGAACTAGAAAGGGTTCTGAATGAAGACTCTGCTTTGACTCAGCAGCTTTCCAGTGACTTTCAATTCAACTTTCCACCCGACGAGATTCGAGGAAGGCAGCAACCCACTTGGCCAGAATCCACCCAGTGTCGGTGGCTTATCTATAAGCGGAAGCCAAACTCTATACATACACACTCTTCCAAGGTTTATTTAACCCAAGTAACTCACCATTCATGATTATTACAAAATGAAGGCCATTGATCCTCCTCTCACATCACCTTCTACCTAAAATAGAAGCTTCCAGGTAGTGTCTCCAAACCTATGCAGTAGTTCCGACAGTGGGCCCCCCAACTCCACCATCTCCCAGATACCCACAGAAAGACTTGGACCAGGGACAGCAGCTAACCAGTGCCTCATGTTTGCTGCCTTCCCCAATACTCCCTCTTTTACCTCATCCCTGTGTGTTCCAGCACAACTGTCCCTCATTAAAGCTGCCTGATACTTTCTATTTCAATGCTGGGTAAAGCTGGATTAAAAGGAAGGGAGTGACACTTTGTCCTCTTCTGTCTAGAACTTTCGGTGGCAGAGGCGTTTTCAACACAGTGAAATATGCAATATTCATTTCATTACAGTGCTCATAATGTGTACCATTTGAATAGAATGATGATAATAACTGACAACCATCATGCACTGCCTTTGTGCCAGGCTCTGTGCTAAGTACTTGACGTGTATGATCTCATCTATTCCTGTACCCACCCCTAGGTGTCAGGTATTATTCCTACTTCACAGAGGAGGTCACTGAAGCACAGAAGTCAAATCATTCTCCAGGTTCCATACAGCTAATAAATAAATAGTCTGGCTAGAAATCACACTCAGGTCTGTCTGATCCCAAAGTCACGGAATACTGCCCATTTACTATGATTCCTAAGGAAATTTTTAGAAAAAAATTTAAAATAACTTTCAAGACTTTTTCTTGGTTATTATACTTTAGAATCAACTGAGTGAATTATTTGCTCACTCTCTGCATCCCGTCTGTTAAACTACCTACAGGGAACAGTTTTACAAAAGCTGCCACGGCCATTTCCAGTGTGGGCTTGACAGAGAAGCACGCTGACTGGTAGGCTGTGCTTGGGGTCACTTTTCTCTCTGGTTCCCTAGCATCAGTAGCCCAGGCCACAGAGGATGCAGGGGCAAAAGGGTGCATAAGACCCAACTATTTTTGTTTTCATTCTCCAAGAGGCAAACCTGAGCAGCAGTTTTCTGCCTACCAGTTTTACAGAGGCCTGTCCTTCCCCACCCCCTTCTTTTATGTGCACCCTTATCACTGGTTGGAATACAGAATCAGAGAAGATGTGCAGTGGAAGGAGACTCAGGCCCAGGATGAGTATGAGGGACTTGCTCAGAGTCATGCACCCAAGGCAGAGCTAGAACTAGACCAGGCCTCGTGTTTTCAGCTCCACCACATAGCAGCCACAACAACTGCCCTGTTCCTCTAATGATGGTATTTGTGCCAGACCCTGGGCCCTCTAAGGCTTCCGCAAGTGCTATGTTGGCAGTGGGGTGAGCCGCCAGGGAGGCTGCTGCACAGTGACCCTGGATAATGATGATTCTGTGTTTCTCTCATTAAGAACAGGGTCTGTCTGGAGGAATTGCAGCGGTTGTCTTTGTCTGGGAAGCTGCCAGGCCCACAGCTAGGAAGGCTTCATTTTCCTCAACCTCGAGCTCAGCAACAGGGACTACCACCAGGAATGAGGTATTCAAGCACCAGCTCTACCGTGATTCTTACAGGAACTGGGTCTGGTCATTGCATAAGCTTCTCTGGTGTGATGAGGCCTTTCCTAATGAGGTACGGGGGACACTGGTCACTGGGGACAAGGCTGCCCACAGAAAACGCTGGTGCATCAACTCTAGAATCCAGGGAAAATGAAAGCAAGGCGCAAGAAACATCCTAAGCAGCAGGAAAGAGAGAAGAAAGCTTCATTTGATATCTCTCAATTTCTCTAGTTCTGCTACTGCAAGACCATCTGCCTTCTACCAAAGGGAAGGATGCTGGAAGCAACTTATGGAGCTCCAGCTTCCTATTCACCATCTGCCTGCCTCTGCTGCTTACCTCTTTGGGTCTTGCTGATCCTGCTTGTTTGCCCATCCCGTCCCGTCCTTGGGTACTATAACGATGTTGGGGTCGTTTCCTTTGTTTTCAGATTTCAAGCTTGGCAGGTTTGCAGGCGGTGGCATACGCCGGGCTGTGGCAACTTTCCCGAGACTCTGTAAGCCATGTCTAGGAATAACTGTAGGAAGGGAAAGTGATGGAACAGATACACACAGAAAAGTTACAGAAGGAAAGGGGTCTGATTCATTCAGCTCCTTTTTCAAATGCTAAGTGATCAGGACAAAGCCAACCAAACAAGACATAATAAGGGGCAGTGGAAACAAACAAAAGTGTCTGGTGTCACTTGACAAGCTCTTCAACGAGGACTTCAGAGACAAAGGGGCTGCTGAAAATCTGTACAGAGGCTTCTATTTTACTTGTGGGCAGGAGAAGGCTTGGGGAGTGGAAGTGGGTTTATGACATGAGTGAGGAGACAAAATGGGTAAGGAGCCAAGCCCGGAAACCTCCATCCCACACCAAAACCATCTCTCTGTAAGTTGAGACTGCGCTGGCCTCATTAGAGGACTAAAGGGAGAGCTTCTCTGCCTAGACCCAAACCAAGCCTTAGCAGGGCTCCCCCTGAAGCCCATAAAGTGCTCATAAGGTGTGGTCAAGATGAATATGAACTTTTCCCACCAAGTTCCAGACTATCAGAACCATGAAACCTAAAAAGCGTAACTCTAATGCAAATTAAGTTTCATTCTATCCAGTAGGCTGAAAATATCCACGGCGTCAATAGAGAAATAATCCCTGCATAGAGTCAGGATACTTAAGGTTCTGAAATAAGACCTGAAATAAGAGGCAGAGAGGGTGATTCTGCCTCCCCAAAACTACTTGGTGACCACTACATTCTAAGAAAGCCAGTTTGCAGCAACTACATCTGTGTGACCAGATGGAGGCACTTTGGCTTTTATGGTCCTTGACCTAGAACTCATCATTTTAAAAAAAGTATGAAGAACTGGACTTCACCTCTGGTCCTTACCTGAGGATCTGAGTGCGTCTACTGATTTTCCTTTATACTTATCAAACAGGCTGAGAGTCGAGTACTTGCTTTTCCCATCCTTGCCCTTGGTTATTTGCCCCAAACGATCGGACATTGCGATGAAATGTCATCTAGTAAGGAAATTTTTCTCGGCACCGCTCCCAATCTGCCTTTGAAATGCAAAGAAAGAGCATGTCAATCCACCATAACCTTCTGGCCCAGCGGATATGATTTTTTGGGATCATGGATCTCCTTGAAAATCTAACGAAAGCTTTGGACTCTGTCCCCCAGAAAAACGGCCTTTTCTCTAAGAAGCAGTTTTGCTTACATTTAAAGGGTGTTTTGTTGACACCTCTCCCCCTTAAGAACTCTCACTGTGCTCTGAATTGGCTGGAGTTTATTACTGCACGTGGCCAGCTGGCATCAACCACAGTGAAATGAAAACTTTGACACACTGCATACTCCCTCTAAGTCAAGGACAACTCTTCAAGATGGAAAAATAAATGCTCATTACTTTTAGTACATCCAAGTAACATCAAAAATAAGACAGGCAGAATAGGGGTGGTACACAATCCACTTATTTCAAGGCTGTTCACCTCAAGGACGAGAAAAACCAAATCAAGCAAGGGGAAGCAACCAAAGTCAGTAAATCATTCAGGAACAGGTGGATGTGTACACTTTTCAAAACAAAGGACCAGCATCCTGAGAGAAAACATCTGCTTAGGTAACAAAAGCACAGCTCAGAAAGTGCACACGTGGGAACAAAAGCTCCAGAGCTGAGAGAGAGACCACAAGGGGGCTGTGCCATCTATACCACATCTACATCCACTCAGTGATAACCTTGAAGAGGAGACCAAGAAAGGAGCTTCCTCTGCCACCTTCCAATTCCGTACAAGTGTCTATGAGTCCATTAGCACTCTGCTCACCATTTCACTCATTTACTCACTCAGTCATTCACACAAATATTTACTGAGTGTCTACCATGTGTCAGTGAGTGTTGTGTGCCAGGCACCGAGGACCCACTAAGATGAAAAGAGGCAGTTCTACTTCAAGACCTTTTATTTCATACCCAACCTGGCAGCGCAGTGATTAAGCGTTTGGCTGCTAACCAAAAGGTTAGCAGTTCGAATCCACCAGCTGCTCCTTGGAAACTCTATGGTGCAGTTCTACTCTGTCCTATAGGGTCATTAAAAAAACACACACACACAAACCTGTTGCTGTCGAGTAGATTCCAACTCATCGCAACCTTACAGGACAGAGTAGAACTGCCCTATAGAGTTTCCAAGGGGCACCTGGTGGATTTGAACTGCCAACCTTTTGGTTAGCAGCCATAGCACTTAACTACTACACCACTAGGGTCACTAGGAGTTGGAATTGACTCATCAGCAATGGGTTTGGTTTGGTTTTTGAACCTTGGGTATAGGTTCTAAACATCTTGATTATGGGGGTGGGGGAAGGGAAGGGCTTGTATAAGTGATTAAGTGTTTTTCCCACTGTAATTAAAACATGGCAAAGAAACGTAAAGCATCAATTTAGGCATATTGATAATCTGTCCTTAACAACATCACGAAGACAACTGTAAAACTATCCACTGACTAATAAAAGGCACTTAGTAGTAGCTGCAGCAATAGGGTTTGCCATTTCGCCATCCCGCTCTGAAGCTGTGCAGGCTAGGAGGAACACCAGTGCATTGGGAGGCAATTTCTTGTACCCAAAAAGAGGCTTTGAAGATAAAACCCTGTATTATAAATGATCTCAGACTAAACATGATATAAGAATACAAAGATCAGTTACAAACTGGGACCAAAAAAAAAAAAAAAAAAGGCAAGATGGAGAAGCCGACAGCACTTGCCTCCACACAGAATGACTCCAGAGCCAACGCCAAATGTGACACATCTGGCACTTACACAAAACTGGGTTTATCCATCTCTTCATTGATTCAACAGATATTGACTGATACCTGCCCTGCCAGTCCCTTTTGCAGGCACAAGAATACGTAAGCATGCAATTTGTATTAGGAAACACTCAGAAAGAATGCATGTGATGGATGCCAAGGGGTAAGCCTTGTGAGCTGGATACATGTGTCAATCAGGTGGGTGGTCAAATCCATCTTCTGGAACTGCCCCTCTCTTCCTCGGATGGTTTCAGTCATCCTGGCTGGATACCTAACTCCCTTCCTCACCCAAATCCTGGTTCAGTAGCTGTGGCCAAGGGGCAAGGCCAAGGGCCAAGGACTGTCAGGGTGTTTGAAAATGTATAGAAGCATTTTTAGTTGTCACAATGAAAGGAGTGCTACTCACATTCAGTGGCCAAGCCCAGGGACACTAAGTGTACTCAGGTGCGTAGGAGAATCCGGCACATTGAAAAATGCACCACCAGAAGTGCTCAAAAATGCTCACTGCTCCCCGATTCACGTGTAAGGAGCCACTCAATGTCAGTAGTCCTCCCCCACTGTCTGCCTTATGTACCAGGAGCAAGGAATGGCAATGACCAGGGATGGGAATCAGCCCAAACTGTCCAAATCCTGATTCTGGTACCCAAGACCTGCTGCCTCCTTACTCCTTGATCTTTAACTCCCCCTTCATCTAAGTAGGTTACAGTGAGTTTCTGCCTCTGCCCCCTAAAAGTTCTAACTAATAAATAACAGGCTGGACTACAAGCTCCTTCAGGACAGAGACTGAATCTTCTTTGTTTTATAAGGTCTACTTAATCGGCTCTCAAATGTAAATCAACTTGAATTTCTCCATTATGGCTAGATAAGATCTAATTTTCAGACACTTCTGTTAAATTAAACCAAGAGTGGAAAAAACAAGACCATTTGGGGAGAACCCCCCCCACACAACACACACACACACACACACACACACACACACACACACACACACACGCACACTTTACAAAAGCTCTTGACATAACTTAAAAGATATAATTGTCTTTGAGGCTCTCACAGTGCCTACCACAGTGCCCACACAAAGGCATTTAATGAAATATTTAGTGAATCCAACCACTTGCTCAGCATTAATGAAGTGTCACACCACCTCTAGGAAGTGCCTGTCAGTGGACACAGAGAAAGTGAATGTTCCAGAGACTAAAAGAAGCAAATACAGGAGCTGAGCAGCAACAACCCAAGCTGACACTGGTGGAACGTGGACTCTGCCAGGGCTGGGGCTCCTGTGGTATACGCCCTGCCTCGCACAGCTTAGTCTACAACAGGAGTCAGAGAAGGGTCTATTTTTAGACTGCCCAAGATGGGAATGGTTTTTACACTTCTTACATTTGAAAATAAACAAGGAAAAATATGCAACGATGTATCTCCTCACAAAGCTATGTATTAAAAAAACCAAGTTGGTGCTAAGTCCATCCAATGGGGAAAGAAGAATCTCTTCAATAAATGGTGCTGGGAAAACTGGATTTCCACATGCAAAAAAATAAAACAGTATCCATGCCTCACACCACAGCCAAAAACAAATTCAAAATGGATTAAGGACCTAAATGTGCAAACTAAAACCATGAAATTCTTAGAAGAAAAAGTAGGGGCAACACTGTCAGGCCTAGCTTTTAACAACAGATTATCTAATATAATAATAACAAAAGTGCAAACAGCAAAAGATAAAATAAATAAACGAGATCTCATAAAAATTAAAAACTTTCGTTCATCAAAAGACTTTACCAAAAAAGAGAAAAGACAAGCTACTGATTGGGAGAATATCTTCAGAAAACATACATCCGACGAGAACCTAATAACCAAAATATGTATGAAACTTCAACAATTGAACAACAGAAAGACAAATCACCCAATCATGGAACACATTCAAATGGTCACCAAACACAAGAAAAGATGTTCAGCGTCATTAGACATCAGAGAGATGCAAATCAAAACCACAAGAAGATACCATTTCACTCTCACTAGGATGGCTAAGGAGCCCCGGTGGCGCAGTGGTTAAGAGCTTGGCTGCTAACCAAAAGGCCGGCAGTTCAAATCCACCGGCTGCTCCTTGGAAACCCAATAGTGCAATTCTACTCTGTCCTGTAGGGTTGCTATGACTCGAAATCGACTCAGCGGCAGTGGGTTATGGGTTACGATGGCTAACATTAAACAAAAAAAACCCCAGAAAATAACAAATGTGGGCAAGGATGTGAGGAAAACTGGAACCTTTATCCACTGCTAGTGGGAATGCAAAATGGTACCGCTATTGTGGAAAACAGTGTGGCGGTTCCTCAAAAAACTAAAAACAGGACTACCATATGACCCAGCAGAGACTTGTACATCAATGTTCATTGTAGCACTATTCACAACAGCGAAAAGGTGGAAACAACCTAAAAGCACATCAACAGATGGATTGACAAACAAAATGTGGTACATACATACACTACTACTCAGCCAGTAGGAGAAATGAAGTGTTGATACATGCTACAATATGGATGGAACTGGAAGACATTATGCTGAGTGAAATAAGTCAATCACAAAAGGACAAATATTGTATGACCTCACTTATATAAAAAGACAAGAAAAAGACAAACGAATAGAGAACAAAGTTTACTACTGGTTACAAGGAGGGAGGGGAAAGGAGGGGCTAATAGTGATGGAAATAGCATGTTGATTAACGGTAGGGCTGCACAGCCAATTATTTTAATTGTTATCCATAAGTCGTACACTTGTAAAAAGTTGAATTTGCCAAAGTTGTGTGATAGATATATTTTCAACAACTACCAAAAAAAAAAAAAAAAAAAAACAGTAGCTGCTGGGGCTGATTTTGTACAGCCAAAAACCTCAAAGGATTTGGTTTGGAGGTTTAGGGTCCTGGTTTCATGGTACATCCCAGTTAATTGGCCTAATTAATATGTTTAGTGCCTCTGTCCTACCTCTTACTTCAATGCATAGTGCCTGGGGTCTTAAAAGCTTGCCAGCAGCCATCCAAGGCACAACAATTGGTCTCTACTGCCTGGAGCAACGGAGGAAGAAGGAGACTCAGGAATAGAAGGAAGATAAGGAATGTGTGGCTAACTGCCTCTATGAACAGCTGACTCCTCTGCCAAGAGACCAGAAGAACTAGATGGTGCCCAGCTACCATTACTGAACATTTTGATCAAAGATTCCATAGGTAGTCCTGTTTTTAGTTTTTTGAGGAACCGCCACACTGTATTCCACAAAACAGCTGTACCATTTTGCATTCCCATCAGCAATGGATAAGGGTTCCAATTTCCTTATATCCTCGCCAACATTTGTTGTTTTCTGGTTTTTTTCAAATCTTAGCCATCCTAACCCATAATCCTAATCAAAAAGGGGAAAATGCAAAACAGAATTTCACATTCTCATGGACTCCAGACTTCCTGGAACCATGAAGGGTGGGTGAACCTCTGAAACTATTGCCCTAAGATAGTCTTCTTAAAACCAAACAACAGTTTAACTTAATTAGTAAAAAAGGCCTGCCTTAAGCATTACGCTCTTTTAAGAACTATCTATAAGGGATCAAATTGGTAACAACAACTCGAAAGAATAGACAGGAACCTTAGGGGGCAGTGAATTTACATTAATGGGGGAGGAAAAACTCAGAAAAGGAGGGTGAGAATGGTTATACAGCTAGAAGAATGTAATCAATGTCACTTAATGGTACATGTAGAAACTGTTGAATTAGTGTATGTTTTTGCTGTATATTCTCAACAACAAAATAAAATTATATATATAAAAAAGAAATGTTAATTGTAAAAATTTTTTTTCAGACAATACAAAAATTTGTAAAGATAAAAGTAAAAAATATCCATCAGTCAGAGATAACCCAGGCCCAGAAATAACCACCATTAGATTCAGACAACCATCCAACATGTTATTGTATATCCTTTTAGATGGTTTTCTGATATTTGACTATTAAATTTGTAATAAAAAAAAGATTATATAGGAACCTTAGGTGTCAGCGAGTTTATATTAATGGGGGGGAAGAACAACTCAGAAGAGGGTGAGAATGGTGGAACTCGAAGAATGCAATCAATATCACTGAATTGTACGTGTAAACACTGTTGAACTAGTGTGTGTTTTACTATGTATATTCTCAACAACAACCAAATAAAATAAAAAATTGGGGTGGGGGTCCCCAGCAGAGGAAGAGCACTTAAGCCTTTATATACTAGCCAGAGACTTATTTCATTGATAGAGATACCT